ACCCCCATTTAGTACCCCTATTGAAATTGACAGCTAAAAGACAGAGGCGTACCTAAAAAGGGTAAGGCAAAAAAAGGAAAAGAGGGAGTCTTGATGAAGAATAAGTAAAATAAAGCTCTTAGTTGTCCTCAACTAAAACTTAGGGTATTTTTTTACACTCTCTCCTTTTTTATTTATAAATTTAGTTAACCCCCATTTACTACCCCCATTGAGGTTTTAGCGCTTCCTGAATACGCCGTCCCTGCTACTGGTTTCTGGGCCATAAAAATAACATTGAGTTTGATATTTACGACAAGTTCACCCGGTCGATATTATATTATCTTCATTTATTGCGGCTAATATCAGCAACAGCCAGAGCCAGAGCTAGAGCCAGAGCCCCAGTCCGATCCCTGGAGCACTTGAAGAAGAAAAACACTATGGTTCTCGTCTGGCTTTGTAATTGTATTTTGGGTTTATTAAGTGCCAATAGAAAACTTATCTCTGCCCAACTGGCCATAAGTCGAAAATCTTATTTTACGATTTAAAATTATACCAAAAAAAAAAAAAATAGAAAAACTGATAAACACTCGAGCTCATACTTATTGGTGTTTATGCCAATAATAAAAAAATGGGAAATAGATAATATACGAGGATTAGCGTTGTACGGGGCCACAAAATGGCGTAGATATTAGAAGTGCCCACCTCTCTTTAAGTATTTTGTATATATCGATCGCAACACGGCAACAACTAGAACAACGACAACGGCTATATCAATATACAATATACAATATACAATATACAATACGGCAATTCATATCTCGCTCCGGTAACCAACTCGAGCCTCCCGAGCAACCCTAATCAATATCTCGAAAAAGTCTTCAAGTGCCTGTCGACTAGAGATGGGCGCGTGTCGAAATATAACTCACGACTTATCAAAAAAAAAAAATGCATTTCATAGATAAATTTATTTAGACAGTTGCCCTTAGACTAAAAGACTGTCAACTAAAAATTAGCAAGGTAGCCAAAATTAATTAATCATTTTTATTTTTCTTCCTTTTAATTCCATTTAAAAATTTGTTGACACGAACATGTGTTATTTTGACACGAGTGCAGATGAAGAACGTACTTATTTCACGACTTGTTGAAAAAAATAAATGCATTTCTTAGATAAATGAATTTATACAAGATTATACATATATTTTCCATTTTGACATAAAGCTTCCTTTAAAGTTTTTGTGTGATCTCTCACGATGTTTGATTTTTGTCGTCGACACGACAGTCTAGACTCGAAATGCACACGAAAAATAGTTCACGACTTATTGAAAAAATAAATGCATTGTATATATAAATTTATTTATTTTAGTTTGAGTCAATTAAAATTAAATTTTGTTTAACATTGATTGCCTTCTCATATTCCCAGTTTCTCTTGCTCTCACGATGTTAGTTTTTCTGACACGAACACGTCGCGTTCATTAGACACGACATGCTCCCAGCTCTACTTTGGACACTCGGCGTGCAGAAGTGCCGTTAGACCCCGGGCAAATGGGCACCGGGCAACCAGTTGCTCAGTGTTGGGCAATAAATGATTGTTGGGCGCGATAAAAAGATAAAATGTTTGACTTTTGTTGTTGGACAAGTAGTTGCTGCTGCTGCTGTTTGTTGTTATTTAAGTGTAACACGCAGGAGCAACAACTACAACAACAGCAACAACAACGACAACAACAACAACAACACCATCATTTGGCTTGTTAGCACCTTAACGCATTGTTTTTGTTGTTGTATTATGACTTGGTTTATTTATAATTATTTTTACCCAAAAGCATTATTTATAGCCTATATTAATATTCTTTATCATTGAAAATAATACTTATGGTGCTGTTCCCTTCTTGTTAATATACCCTTTAACCACTAAATATGACCAAAAAAATAAGGGTATCATCGTTTTGTTTCTAAATATGTAACACAGAAAAGTTTTTTATACTTTTTTATATTTTCCAAAATTTTGACATCAAGGTTCCCTTATGCCCTACAACACCTATTTTCCCAAAATGAATTTATGAAATTTAAAGACAATCTTGGTGAATATTATTAGCTCAATTTATGTATATAACTGTCTGTCCTGACTTATGACAAATGCATTCCTCCTTGATTGAAATGGGGGACACAGATTTTCGTTTCGTTTTGTTCTCAAATTCATTTTCAAAAATCTATTCGAAAAATTATGTGAGACGTGTTTCACACTTTTCGCAGAATCCAAGCTTTCTCGGTGGGGAATGCGATTCAAAGATTATAAGGGCGAAGTTTCAAGTTTTGTCCGCTTTACTTTACACTTATTTTCAGCGATTTGGTAAATTCCACCCACAACAGTGGAAATCGGTCGTACGAAAGACTTTTAGTTTACGTGAGAATTTATTTGATACGTGCCACGGGCAAGGCCGGGCTATACCCTAGTTATATATATGTCTAAATATCTATATCTATAATATCTATATATATCTCTTTTTAACATCCAGATTCGACAAGTCCAACAGACTAAGAGACACAACAATTGTTTAAGAAAATATGTTGCACATTTCTGCAATTACAGGGTATCAGCTAGTTGCCCAACTACTACTTCCTTTCGGTTGTTTTTGTTGGTGTTGTTGTTTTTGTTGTTAGGTAGCACATTTCCACAGCTACTTGAAAGATAAAACATTGTTGTTTATTGCCGCTAGATCTGATAAAGCCACCGTGCAGCAGGCGAGGCGTGTAGAACAAGCCAACGACGTGGCAGGCAACCGGCCGGGAAGGCCGGGTAGCCGGGCGATATCATATCCATGAACAATTCCAGAGTCCATGCCCAATATCTAGGTTGAGTTAAGCATTTGATGTGCATTTGATGAGGTCAGCAACGCACCCAACTTGAAGTGGAGCTACCTTATCAAGGGAGCACTCGCATCGGCATGGACTGGGCCATATGGAGGCCAATAATGGATAGCTGCATCTGGAGACAACGTGGCGACGACTAACCAGCTCAATAGAGGATTATCAGCAATAATTTTGATTTATCACTGAACCCAAATAGATATAAACATTCGTCTTAGACGGGGGAGTTGGGTTCTTGTTAACTCTCAAATGTGACATCGAAATTTATGATATGGGCTTGATTTATATCGAGCACGGCACGGTCTGGCATCTGACAACTGACGGGTGTACTTAGATAAAGCGACAGGTGGACAGGACCGTGGACAGCGTATCAGTGATAAAATTTCACCCTGTCGATACCTTTGCAATCCGTGTACAGTAAAAGCAACAACGTGGACTATTCTTGTTCAGGGAGACGTCCGCTTTCTATCCGTAACAATTAAATACTCGATAGATTTATTTCAGACAACACTTGATGTTCTACAGAAAGGGTACCTAAGTTGTTAATAATCCTAGAGTAATATAAAAATGTAGCTCGATCCATAAGGAGAAAACAATTTTTTTCTATAAAATATCGTGAATTTTAGACAACACTTGATGTTCTCCATATTATTCCAATTATTATTTCAGAAGCTAATTTTGTAAAAATCCTAGAATTTGAAGCTATGTTTTCTATAATTCTTTCGTGGTTGTTTAAATTTCCCTTTTATATATATTCAAATCCAATTTCCATTATTCCTTCTTCCATGTTAAGGGAATTTTTTGTTGTACCAAGAAGTGAGGCATAAGAACGTCCACCAAATAGAGTTCGATTTAAAAAAGAATATTAAATAATTAATGGGACTACCAAAAATTATATGTTCGCTCAAGCGAGCTGTCCGTTTGTAGACAGTTTACTGTACATTCAGGGCAAAGCTTGGCGCGTTAAATTTCCCTTTTATAATTCCCATTCAATTCTTCTTTAGGATATTTTTTGTTTTGTAAAAAGAAGAGAGCCACAAAAAGTCCACCAAATGGAGATCAATTTGTATTCAATATTTTAAGATAATTATTGGGACTACCAAAAATGAAATGTTCGCTCCAGCGAGCCGTCTGTTAGTAGACAGTTTACTGTACATTCTGGGCAAAGCTTGGCGCGGCGCCGCGTGAACAATTTGGGCAAACAAATGCTAAACAAATCGGAGCACACACAAAAAAACAACTTGTGAAAAGAACGTGCCAATAATTAAATATCCACATACATATACTTAGTTATATATATTCAGAGAGCGTGTTTGTGTGTGTGTGTGTGCGTACTTACTGATTGGATGCTGGCAGGGATTGGTGGTGAATATCTCCTGGAAGTACGGACTGCATATGGCCAGGACGATTTTGTGGGCCTGCAGCAGCTTGCCGTCGCAGGCCAGGGTGACGTCCACCAGGTCGCCGCGGTCATACAGATTCTGGAAGCCGCTCGCGATATTGTCCTGGAAATTTTTCCAGCATAGCTTGAACTCATCGTCCATGGCGTTTGCCAATTGTCGGCGGCGTTTCACGGCCAGCCAGCTGTATATATTTGTATTTATTTAAAATACTTTTATTTGTCGTCTTTTTGCTGGCGACTCGACTTATTTGTAATTGTTTCTGGTTAAATGTGCAGAGAAATCTTGAGTCTGTGTTTTATTGCCGTTTTTTAATGATTCTTGTTTATTTGCTTTTGGCCGTGATTTCTTGGCTCGTGCACTTTGTGGCTGACATTCACAACTGAGATGCCACAGAATGTCAGGTAGAACATAAACACAAAATATATGTATATATATATGTATGGAAAAAGCACGCTCACGAGAGCCAAACGCCGTCGCGAATGTAATTTGGTATTTTATTTTAAACAGATGCTGCAAAACAATTTTAGTTTGTTGTCGTTCACGCGCACGAAACACGAACCGTCTGCGAGCACAGCCAGATTGACTTTGATTTCGGTTTTAATTAACACTTTTTGATTTAAAACATTTTTATCAGAAAAGCGTGAAATGGCAGCGGACGCTGTTTACGTTTCGGTTCGGTCGCCGTTCATATCTGATAGAGAGAGTGAGAGAGAGAGAGAAACTAGAAATCATGCGCACAAGCAAAACAGCTGTTTAACGAGCAGTGCTGTAAAAGGCGAAAATAAAGATGGCGGGTCTGACTAAATTCAAATGGCTCAAAATGGCTTTTTTCTACCAGCATGAAATTTGTATCATATTTTAACAGTAAGACAGTCTTCTTGATATTTATTTGTTTGCTATACACATCCCTTAAGTAAAGAGAACTTACTGATATTCGATTTATTCAATCGATATTCGATACATTTCTCTGATAATATTTCCAGGCGCGGACTATAAAATTTAAAAGCGCCAGCAGCGCTGATTGATAAGCGCTTATCTAAATTTTGTAAACTCCCCGACACAGTTCGGCTGAGGTCGACTTAGCGTGTGCGGTGAAATCGTAGAGCCAAATAAAATCGTTCTAGGTAACCGACCGTCACAGTAGATAACGTGGTCGTGTATAACCCACTTTGTGTTTTAAACAAAAACAAAGAATTTCTTATCTGTGAATGGTTTGCACGTTAATTATATACACACCCAACCATATATAGGTGGATACCAATGCCAATTGGTCACCGGTTTGATTTCTCTGATTTAGTGCTTTAAAAACGTTCAACTGCTTTGGTACAAACGACATTTGATTATCTTCTTATTATAATGGGTGGTTGTTGTAGTAAGCAAACAACGCAACCTTAACAACGATTATTCAAATAATTGTAATCCCTATTAATTTTCTTTAGGTACTAGTAAATCGGTCGATTTGCCAGCTGTGCCGCCAGCGCCAGCTAAGCAGCGAGCCACAACCTTGCCGGAATTTCCGAGTACGCTTTCAAACAATAATTCCGGCATTTCTACATTGGGAGGAGCCACGAACAGAGCACTTGAAGAAGATTAGCAAGGCTAGAACAATGCAACTAATAAAGAACATACTACTAGTAATTTCGAGCAATAAGTGTTAAATATGCACCCAATTGGAATTCACATCAAACTTTCCTTTTAAAAATAAAACGTTTAAGTAATGTAGTTAATATTTTGTGAAATATGCACCTATAAATATTTATTATAAATTCAGTGTATTCAAAAGAGCGCCAAAGAGACTTTTACAACACTTTGAGCACAACTGTTGCTCGAGTGCGCACATAACAAAAATACTAAGAAATACTTCTTTCAAATACTGGCATGCAATATGGTACTACACGGTGTAAGTGTTAAATATACACCTAACATGAATTAAATTTGCCTTTTAAAAAAAGGTTTAAGTATTCGCAGTTAACATTTTTTCAAATATGCTGTAATAAGTAATAATTATAAACATAGTGTATTCAAAATATTTTGACAGAGCGCCAAAAAGACCTTTACAACAATGTGAGCACAACTGTTGCACAGCACTAAAAGCGCTACTAAAAAATACTTCTGTTAAATACTTGTACGCACTACACGTGCATGCGGCTCGTGTGTTTTATTTTTGAGAAACGTTTTTTTATCAATCTTGGCCGATTATATATGAAAACACGGCCAGGGACATATAAAGATGGCAATACAAACGAATAAACGGAAAAGAAAACATGAAGCTGCAGCCGCAGACCAACCAGATGATGCTGAAATAGCGGTACCCAAAAAGCAGCACAAGGAGTCCCATACGCCAAAGAAAAAATCAAGAAAGGCAAAAGAACAGGTGAATAGTGAAGAACAGACGAATGAGGCAACAAATGAGGAGCAGTTGGAAGCTTCCGACAGTCCATCCAAAAGTAAAAGGGAACAGGCAGCTGCCAATCAAAAAGATGAAAAAGTGGACGAAGCGGAAATCAGTCCTGACTCGGGCATCGAGCCGGAAGAGAAGCCTCTACGGTTTCCCAATGATTTCAAAATGATGCATTTTCGGAGCAAGCTGCTCGGCGACAACTTTATAACGGGTAAGACTGAGATTAAGACTATGATTCCTTTTATCTAATTTTGTTCTGCGAACAGAATTGCGTCACTTTCTGTACATGTGCGAAGTACGGCCCCGGATCGTCGCCAAGTATATTGAGAAGCGCGGCAAGCCGTTGGAGCTGGCCGAAGCCTTCAATCGCATCGACAAGACCAACATACTGCATGTGGGCTACCTATGCGAGGCGCTGCAGCGCATTATCATGGAGATACTCACGAATCAGAAGGCTCACATGGAGTCGGCGGCGCACGCGGGTCGCTATTTCCTCAAGGTGCATGGCACGCTGCTGGAGCAACTGTTGCAGTCAGCACAGCCGAAGCATCGACGCAACGCGCTCAAATTGCTGACGGCGATTGTGTGCGTGGACTCGCAGCTGGGCCGCCAGGTGCTCAGCTCCTACGATATACTCTCGAATGTGCGCACCATGAACGAAATGTTGTCGCACTCGAAGCACGATTACCAGAACGAGGATACGGTGCGCAAGGCATATATACACTTTGTGCTGGCCTTTCTGGTGGATGGCAATGCGCTGCTCATACGCAACATTATGGATCGCGCCCATCTGATCCGTGTGCTGGCCAAGGGTCTGGTCTACGATGACCATGTGACCGCTTGCGTGGTGCTCAACACGCTGCGCCAATATGTGCTGGAGAATCCGAGCATATTGAAAACGAAGAAGGTGCACGTCTTCGATCTGGAATGCTGCAAGTATCTGCGCCGCCTTTACGACTGGGAAGGCCCCCAGGGCCTGGCCGTATTCTATAAAGGACACAAGACGAAGCACAACTTTGTGCCGGAGGAGCGCGAGGCCGTTGCCGCCGCCGCACATCAGTTTCTGCTGCTGCTCTTCACCTCGCGAAAGCACGGCATCAGCTTCGATGCGATGAGCAACTACCGCCAGAAGCACAACAAGCTGCAGGGCAAAATCCTGGGTAGCCTATATCGTGCATATGCTGACCCGTATAAAACGGAGCTTATATTGAAGACGCTGCATGCCTGTCCCGATCTGGGCAGGCACACGGTGCGCAATTTCGCCTCGTATGTGAATCCCATGCGAGTACCCGCGACTGATTTGCCCAAAGCCATCGATTTGCTGGCCCAGATCATTGCGGCGGTGCCGCCAAGCGCCCTGTCCGTGGCCATGGACAAGATGACACTGACCGACTTCAGCTATTGGATCAAGGAGCTCTGCCTGCCCATCGAGGCGCTGCTGCACATTGTCGGCAAGTACATGCTCAAGCACAACGATTTCCAGGTGCGCCTGGCCGTCAACCAGCTGCTGCTGGCCATGATGACGCAGTACAGCAACTATGTGGGCGCCGTCGCCCTGCGGGAACAGTCGAAGCGTGCGGGCAACTCGTTGCGTAAATTTAAATTCGAGCTGCTCAATCATTTGCTGATCAACTTTCCGCCTATCGAGAGCGTACTGTACTCGCTGTATATGAGCATAGAGGAGCGTCAAAAGGATGGTGTTCATGTGCTGGAGCATCTGTCGGTCACCCTGGAGCTGATCCTCATCATGTGCAAGGAGAATCGGGCCTTTGTGAACAAAACCAGCCAGATTCTCGACTATTTGGATGTCTTGAGGCCGCTGTACGAAACAAACTTCGATGAGCCGGAGTCGACGGAGGCGAATCCTCAAGAGCTGGACAAGGTGCAAAAGATTAAGCTGGAGTTGAAATCAATCAAGACGATTTTGCTGCTGTTTCCGCGCTCGCTGCATCCGCAGGAGCAGCTCTTCGAGAAGGTGTTGCGCTCCTTCGTCAAGGCCTACATGCTGGAGGATGATCAGGCGGTCAAGTCGGAGGCCGGCGAGCTGCTGCATAGCCTGTTCCAGAACACGGGCATGTTTGACTCGTGCAGCTACGAGATCGACATCTGGCTGGAGGCATTGATCGGCTTCGATGCCCAAACCGTGGACAATGTGACAAGCATTCTGCTCAACATACTCTCGCTGGACTTGTCCCAGGTGGAGGAGGAGCAGCAGGAGCTGCCGGCCCTGAATGCGGCCGCAACGACGGCCAGCAATGTGGAGAATCTGCGCAAGCTTTTCGCCCAAATCGAACAGGGCCAAACAGTGCAGGCCTATGTAGAGACGCTGACACTGAGCAAAATGTTGCCGCTACTGCTGCAGGGCGTCGCCATCGAGCCTCCGCACGATGCCTACGTGGAGCTGGTCTGCGTGCTGCTCTATCACTATCACACCAAGCCCGAGCAGCTGCAGCAGCTCTACAGCTCGCAGCTGTCGCGGCACAAGGACTACATGGAAATCGGTCAGGGGCCACGTCCACTGCCCGCGCAGATAGCCAAACATTGGCCACACCTGGCGCAGCTGCAGCGTCTGGTGCTGGAGACTTCTCCGAAGCAATCATTTGAGCACATATTCCGGCCGGCGCCGGAGCAGAGCGAACCGTTTGAGCTGCAGCTGGCGGATGGCAACAAGCTGCAGCTGCATCTCAGCCTTCGCAATCCGCATCGCAACATGATCTACGCCCACGAGCTGATCTTTCTGCTCGCACAGCTGGTGCAGAGCAAGCAGCTGGGCGCCCAGCAATCCCAACTGATAGCCGATTGCCTGATTAGGCTGCTGCAAATTGCCGCGCAGCTCGATGGCGGTAAGCTGAGCGCCCCGCTGGCTAATGAGGAGGAGCAGGAGCAGCAGGGGGAAAGGGAGCGGGAGGAGACTCACACACAGCGCCTGCTGCACTACATCTACAGCATTCGGCTGAGCCAGATGCGCGCGACGCACCTGCTCAGCGAGACGAGCGAGACGCAGCTGCACTACGTCAGCTGCCTGCGACGCCTGACGGAGCACTGTCGCCGGCTGCCCGGCTTTAGCAGCTACACGAGCTACTACAGGCAGCAGCTGGTCCTGGCGCTGGAGATAGCACTGGAGGATCGGGCAGCCTTGACGGCTGTCGAGCAGCCGGCGCAGCTGCTGGAGTGCGTCGCCCTGGTGGATGCCTTCGAATTGAATGCCAACGAGTGCGCGCAAATGCTGCAGCTGCTCACGGCAAAGCTCGAAGCGAGCGATTACCTGGCGGCGCCGCATTACTTTGAGCTAATGCTGCGTCTTTTGCGGCGCCTGGCGCAGCTGCAGGAGCAGCCCGTCGACTGCAGCCAGGCCATGCTCCGGCTGCAAAGCTATTACGGCGAATTTTGTGATAGCTCCTTGCCCGCCGAGCAGCTGGAACAGCTGGAGGTGGCCCTGCTCGAGTTCGTCAGCAGCCAGCATCATCATCTGGCCGCTTGCCACGCCCAGTTCTTTAGCTGTTTCTTCTGCACATCCAACCGCAAGCTGAGCAAATCAGCAGTAAAGCTCGCCTGCCTGCTGCTGCAGCGCAACACTCAGCTGTCCTCCACTTTTGTGCAGCTTTTGCCAGAGCATGTGGAGCAAAAGGATCTGATCTATCCGCTGCTGGCTGTCGCTTTCAGTCGAGGCTATCAGCTGGAGCAGTCGCTGCTGCAGCGCTGCTATCAGAGCTACAAGGGGGGCATCCTCAAGAGCATCGAGAAACCACAGAAGGCGGCGCTCATTTACCGGGAGCACGCGGCGGCCAGTGCTGCGATCATTGGCCAGTGCATGCCCAAGTCGGAGTGCGTGGACTACTGCCAGAAGCAGCTCAAGTTCGATGCCGTCGGCCTGTTCCAGATGCGCGTGCTGCGCGAGATTTACCGCCAGGCCTTCGGCGCCAGCAAGGATGCACAACAGCAGGCGCAGATATTTGTAAACTACGTGAATTTGAATGTCCAAATGCTGGCGCTCGACCTGAAGAAGCAAAGCGTGCAGCTGGAGCAGCTCGAACAACTGGCCTTCAACTGTTACGACTGGTGGCAGCAGCAGAAGCTGGACTTGGACTCCTCCAAGCCGGATTGGACGCGTCTGCTGAGCGCCTCGCATTGGCTTAACTTCTGTCGCAGCTGCTTGAAGCAGGCCCTCCACATGGCCGAGGAGCCGGAGCAGAGGCAGATCAATGGACTGCTGCTTAAGCTGCTGGCCTACCTGTGCGATCAGCTCTACGAGGATTACAACGAGGAGCAGGCCGAGGAGCATGCGGATGCCGCGCAGCTCTACGAGATGGCCTGCACGCACTCCTGCTGCTATGATCATCTGCTGGGCGAACCGAGCGCCGTGAAGACACATCTGCTGCAACTGCTGGAGACGCTGGCACGGAAGGCGCCATCGGCGTTGCACAGCGCCCACATACCCGTGCTCCTGGGCGCCTATCATGCCAGCCTGACGCCCGCCGATCGCTACGTCCTCGCGCTGCTGGAGCACTACGAGCGCTACGATGTGGGCCTGTCCGCATATCGGCCCTTCGTCTGGGGCGAAAGCGCCGTCGCGCACTATGCGCTGCGCGAGGCGGACGCGGATGAGCGCGCCAAGCTGCAACAGCAGGAGACAAATGTGGCGCAGGTCCTCGCCTTGATTGTGCGCCAAACCTGCCAATATACGATTGAGAACTTTCCCATCTGGCGCACGCTGCACGCCAGCCAGCAGCTGCCGGAGCTGCAGTTTGTCAACCCGGCAACAAAATCTGTGAGATTCGGCGATAACCAGCTGGAGCAGCGCATCGAGCTGGACGGCATCAGCAAGGAATTCTCGCAGGATCAGCGCCGGCTGTGCCCGAAGCGCGACGAGCTCTACGAGCGCTGCTACGATCCGGCCTTTATGCTGCCGCTGATGATGCACTGCTTCGCACCGGAGTCGGCGGTGCGTGCCCAGTGGCCCGTCCAGAATGGCCTCCTAGCGCTGAGCTTCTGTGCGCTGTCCTCGCTGGACAAGGACATGCGTCTGGCCGCCGCCTGCTGTCAGCAGCGTTATCGCAGCCATTTCGAGCTGTCCAAGTTCTACGAGAAGCCGCTCTGGACGCAGGCCTACGACAACATTCAGTCGGGTCTCGTTGAACTGCGCGACTCTTGGCTAGCCCAGCGCCGCACACACGGTGGCATTCCGCGTGTCCCACTAATCCCGGTGCTGTTCATAGCTCACAGCTTCAATCTGAGCACGGATCCAACACATTTGCTGTACAAGCGCATGATGATGTATCTGCAGCTGAAACAGAGCTTCAATTTCCAGACCATACCCGAATTCAATATATTCTTCTACTCCCAGGAACCGGAGCATCAGCAATACCGCGAGTTCATTGTCCAACTGCTGAGCAATGGCATCAAATGCAGCTCGGATCTCTTCCTACTGGTGTCCACCAATACGTTCAAGGTGCTGCTCAGCTTCTATAGCTCCCAACTGGCCACTCTGGACACCAATCTGCTGCTGCTCTCCGTGCTGTCCACGTGCGTGAAGATTCCAGGCGCTGTCAAGATCATGCTCGAGCATGTGGGCATCTTGTCCTGGCTGGTCGGCGTTATACGCGACACCCAGTTTCATCAGTTCGACATCATCGAGGGCATCATTAGCATTGTCAACAATCTCTGGTATTCCGTTGCCGCCAGCCAGTCCGAGCTGCTGTCCGACTACGCATATGTCCAGCTGCGCCTGCATCGACTCGTGCTTCACCTGCTGCCGCTGCTCTCGCCGCGAGTCTCCACGCCCGGTCTGGCGCGTCTGCTGAATGTCGTCCAGAAGACCGCCTCCGCCGGCCAGTATCTGGCCCTGTCAGGCCTGCAACTGGATCTGCTCTTGGACTGCGTCGCTCGCCATTGGCCTGAACAGATTGCCAGCATCCGCTACGTGCGCAGCTTTGGCGGCATCTACGCCAGCCCGCGCTCCGAATACTGCGACGCACTGGCCAGGGAGCATAACCTGGATATGCACTCTGTGCTCGCGCTCTCCAGCCTGCGACAGTACGTGACAGACTGGTGGCAAGCGCATCACCAGGGCACAGATGTCGAGGCAGTCCACAAAATGGCTGTAAGCGTGTATCCTCCAGACGAAGAGGTGTCCGCTTCTTAGGGAGAAAATTTTATTGGCCTGTTAATTATTAAATGTAGCCCTAAACCGTGTAATATATAAAATATTTTTGCATTGATTTCATGAAGATTTCGGGCTTGTGTATCTTACCCGGCATTAAACGGAGCAAGTTATTTCTTTAAATTCTTTTGCGGTTCCATTTGCAACGCAATCTCTAAAAAATCATTTAACAATCTTCTTTAAATCTCACTGAATGGAACCTTGAAACTAATCCTATTGAAAAAACTTCAATGAACTTTAATGGGAGGATTGACAGAGAAGGAACTTTTTTGGGAAAGGATGAAACTGAGCGACAAACAGCTTAAGATAAAGATAAAATATAAATACAATTTATATAAGGAAGTCTTCCCTAAACTTCTCTGGATGGCAAAAGGTAGACAATCCTTTGACTGGAGGACAAACAGCTTGGGATATATTAAGATAAGGTTTAAATACAATTTATTTAAGGATTCTATGATTATTGTGTCGAAATGATGTTGCGCATTTGTCTGATGGCCGTCACGAGGCGTGGCTCGCAGCCGCTGCTCAGGTTGAGATACTGCTCGGGTGCTGCCTTGAGCAGCGTGAGGATCTGGGCCAGCTGCAGGTTAATGGTGAGTCCCAGTTCCTCGAGCACGTTCGACAGGTACTCAATGTCCACGCTGAGCTGCGTGGCGGCGGAGGCGGGTAACGACTTGATCTGCAATATCTGCGCCTGGTACATGACACAGCACTGCTCCACGACCAGGCTGAGCAGGACATCGGCACAGGGCATCGCCTGCGTATACTTGATGTTGCACAGCTCCAAGGCCTGCTTGAGCAGCGCGGACGGCGCCAACAGCAGCGGCTCCAGATGCTGCGGCAGCGTCAACAGATATTGGCCAATCTGCGTGATGCTCTCCTGTGGCGCAAAGCTGAACGCGGGCATGTTGATGCCCGCCGTTGGGTACACCTCGATGGGCGGGCGTATGTGCGCCAAATGCGCCTCGATCGGCTGCAGCAGGATGTTTAGCGTAATGTCATGCGTCTCGGCCAGATAGGTCTTAATTGTGACATAGACCTGGGGGAAGATGCCCAAGCTGTCCGCACTGGTGGCCGCTGTCGCATCGCTTCCCTTCTGCTGGTAATCCGCAATATTGGCCAGCAGCTGGGCGCGCAGCGCCGGCTCACAGGTCTGATAGATGCTAATGGCGCCGCTGGCGGGTCGCTGCAGCCGGCTAGCGAGGGCGACCAGGCGCAAATGCAGCTGCTGCTCGAACTGATGCAGCTGCAGCTGAAACTCGGCCAGACATTGCAGCTGGGACATGGTGTACTGCAACAGGGACCAGTTTTCGCTGCGCGCCATGCCCTCGCTGTTGCCGCTGCCGAGGCTCAGGCTCAGCTGGCGCTGTGTGCGACTAAAGTTCTCCAGCTGCCGCTTGAAGATGCCACCGAGAACCGTTATCAGCTTGCACAGCGCCAAATCATTTGTGATCGAGTCACAGCGGGCACAGGCCTGCTGCAGCCACTCGTAGAGCTTGCGCGTGCTGTCCTCCAGATGACGCACTGCATCGCTGGGCGTAGCCTGATTGGACAGCAAACGATCAACTTGCGTGGACAGCTGCGTCTCCTCCAGCCGTGGATACTGCTGTATAAACTTGTGAAAATATTCAAAGATCGATTCGCCCAGCTGACGATGCAAATCGGCCGATAAACTAATCTGCGACTGCTCCAGTGTTGAGTTCAGGTGCAGCACAAAGTTTTGATTGGCCTGAGCGTATTGGGCCAGTAGCTCGAGCCGCTCATTGGAGCTCTTCAGCAGCTGCAGTATATGGGCGTCCCGGGTGGGCTGCAGCGCCGGCAATAGCTCGGCGATGACCAGAAATGGCTGCGACTGTGCCATGTCCAGCAGCTCACCGGCAAACAGCTGAACACACCATTTCAGCTGACGCTGGCAATGCTCTAGCAGCTGGTCGTAGTAGAGCGCGAGGAAGTGCTGCTGTGGCGTCTCGCTGACCTGCAGCTCCAGCGTCTGCTTCCACTGCTGCTGCAGCACGTTCTTCTGCACGGCTCGATAATATTGCTGCAGCTGCGGCAATCTTTGAATGCTAGCGAAGATTTGCACATGCCGCTGAGCCTGCTCCAGATTCGACTCGGCGAAGCACTGTACCAGGCTGGGTGAGGCCATGGCCTCCAGGCGATTTTTGAAGTCCTCCACCTGCGTTTGGCGCTCGGCATGACCGGGCAGCTGTTCCTGCGCCTGCAGCGACTTCTGCAGCGCCGTCAGCTTATCGCAAACGCCCTGCAAGGAGTAATTATGTATATTTGTGCTGAGAATTCTCTGCCGGAACGGGTTACCTTCATGTCGTTGCGTTCAAAGCAGTCTTCCAGCTCGGCAAGCAGATTGCCCCAGCCATCCGACTCTTGCAACGATTCCTTGGCCGCCTGCAACTTGGTTTGCAATGTGTTTAGGCGCTCCAACGTGGCCATACAGTCGCCCGTCTCCTCCTGCACGGCGGCCACCTCCTGACGCATAGCGCTCATCTTCTGCTGCAGTGCTGCCACATCGCACTGCAGAGTGGCAGCCTCCTTGGCTATGCGCGGCATGCTGGCCACGACCTGCTGGCTGGACTCCTCGACGGCATAGTTCACCTGCTGCACATATAGCTGCAGCTTGGCCACGTAGCTTTGTATGAACGCGGTGGCAGTTGCGCTCCCCTTTTTATTATTCTCTTCCGTATATTTTTTATAGTTTGCATTTATCCAATCGGCGGCAGAGAAACTTGGCTCTGATAGCGCCAAAATATCCATTTTCAAAAACGGATAAAACACTAATCAGGAAATGTTTTTAATATAAGTTCGGCTTCTTGAGTGGCACAGCTGTTAGACTTGTAGTGTTGGAAAATGTTGGGTAGTTGTTTATTTTTTTAATATCTAATGATTTTAACTTAGAGTTTAGCACAGCTGTTAGACGTGAAGTGTTGGGCAGTTGCATTGTCTTGAATGGCACAACTGGTAGACTTTAAGTGCTGGAAAATGTTGCGTAGTTTTTTATTGTTTTTAATTTCTACTGATTTTTGCTTAGAGCTTAAGAATTTATAGCTAAATATATCATATGGTAGCCATAAATCAAGGTAACGACCAACCGGTAACGGTAGTTACTAATTCGCGTGTCGATTTTTAGTTCATAATACGAGCACGCACGATTCTCATCGCTCATTTTTAGCACACGCACTGACAGATGACAGATATTACAAAATGTTTTCAATGTAAGTTCTGCATCTTGAAAATATTGGGTAGTTGTTTAAAAGCTGAATATAATTATATCTTAGCCATAAGTCAAGGTAATTCTCATTAAGCTTTCGATTTTTCGTTCATGAACGAACACGCACGATCCAACAATATTAGTTCGTGCCAAACAAAATCGGTGCACGCGCTCATCTCTAGCACTGGCACTGACAGATGTATTATTATGAGTCTCTGATACTTTGCTCGAACAACAACGATTTGCTTAAAAGCTTACGCTGATGTATTTAGTAAGTGAAACATGTCAGTTTGCAAAGCCGATCCCTGGCAAGTGAAAAATAATAGCAGTAAACCAGAAAACGGAAATACCGACGTGATTGAAAAATTCGAAGATAATTTCAACCCCAATAAATCAGAGAGCAGACGCACATCAGATATCGCCGACAGCAAAACCGAGAGTAATGCTTCAGGCTCACAACGCATCGAGCCGCTGCCAGATTCGGCAAACTATTTGCAATTGCTAGGTGCGTATAAAGAAACTGCGTATTTAATTTGATTTTATCTTCAATTGGCCACGCAGAGCGAAAACTGGAGAAAGTGCAAAAGGGCAACAAATTGTTGGACTCGCTGCAGGAGAAGAAACAGGATTGCATGCGCTCCTTGCTGGCGTCGAACGGTGTGCCAGAAACTACGCTCGAGCAGCTGCTCGATTTTGATACGCCCATCGAGAGCGGTCGGCTGCATCGTCACCTGCTGCCCGTGCAGGCGGTAACCGTAGGCGAAACATTGCAGATCGTGCAATACGACGCTCTCGAGGAACAGGCCGTAGAGCAAGTCGAGCAAGGTCAACAGAAGAAGCAGCAAGACGAGGCGGAAAAAGAAATTAACTAAACCTAATAATAATGGACTCTACGTTTGGCAATGTGTTTCTGTTCCTCACCGATTTGGCTTGGAAGAGTCGTTTGACAATACCATTGCTGGTCACAACAGCTTTCCTGGTCATGGACATACGCTTGCAGATCGAGATTAACATCCAGACGGGACAAGTGGTACCTGAAAACTCCCTACCATTAAATCCAGAACTAATCGCTTTATACCACAACTACAGAATGCCAGCGACCTTGATGAGCAGGACGACGCTTTCGAGGAACAATTGGCGCACGGCGCAGCGTTTGCAATGGAAGAGGAGAGCGACGTCTATACGGATGATCTCGAGGAGTATAATAGCGAGTATACCAACGGAGATGGTAACAGCAGCGACACGTCACGTTACAGCGTGGATATCGACGATGACCTGGGCTCCGAGTATGACGTCGAGAATGATCTCGATGCTTACTATGCGAGCGAAATTCACTTCTAGCTAGACTACTTCGAATATAAATTTTAAGAGTAATATATGTACATGTTAGAAGCTAATTTCTGTAGATTGTAGATGTATATGCATATAGCCCCAATATTACGTGTTTGTATATTTCGGTGTAATCACAATTTTGAAACCAGTTCAAGCCAAAATGCTTGTCTTTTAGTTTTATTAGCCTTACATATACAATTTGATCAATTCGTCGCTAACCGCCGATGGCGTCAGTATGCCCAAATCGGTGAAGAGCAGCGTGATATATGCAGGCGGTGTGTAGTCAACCAATGGATGCACCTTAGACACATCATTTAAATGCTTGCGCGAATACTGAAAACGAAAATAAAAAATTCATTTTGAATTGGCACAAATCACTGTCACGGCGTTGCCAACTGCCGCAAAAAGCTAATTAGACATCAATTCGCTTCCGTTTCAGTGCTAATTGGAATAAACAGAGTTGGTAACGCTTATTGAACTGCCAATAAGTAGCTGACTTCTGAAAACGGTTCATTGAATTGGCAACCCTGCCTGCACTGCATCTTGCCTACCTTGTACTCGTTGGACAAATCTCTTTGATTCAAAGGATATAGGCGAGAGAACTTGAAACTTTCAGAGAGCACATAGAAGGGCTTCTTCATTTCGCGCGCACACAAGCCCATTGTGTAGGAGCCAATGCGATTGATAATGCCGCCGCTCTCCACGACCGCCTCGGCGCCTACCATAACAAAGTCCACCGATTCCATTACATAGCCAGTGGCAGCGTCTAGTATTAGCGTACAATCAATGTCCGCGGCCTGCAACTCCTGCACCATCTCCTCCCTAAAAAGAGGTACAGTTAGGCAAAAGATAACAATTGAGCGTATTAATACTTGCCCGGGGCTACCTATGCCGCCCTGCGTCACAAATACGTGAAAGGTCTTCTTGTTTTGCGATGCGGCTATCAGCGCCTGGAGGACCACTCGAGAGCGGGAGTGGGTAAGGATTCGACAGCCATCACTGATAAAACGCTGTGCCTGCTGTGAAATGACCTGACGCGAATTCAGTAATTTGGTTAGAAAGATTTTCCCCCGATTTAACATGATCTGCCGGCACTCCTCCATGTGTTTGTCGTCCAAACTGAGTGTTATAAAACGACAGAAGAGCTCGCCAGCCGACACGATGGCTGCTATGGACAGGTCCGTATTACGCATCGCTGCCACAGCCTCGCGCATTGTGGTGTGCAAAATATGTATGGTGCCAACTAAGAGTTTATTACGATTATTATTATTATTACCAGTTTATAAAAACGAATATATGCTTACATTGTTTCTTCTCTAATATCATCAGCAACGTTTTAATGGCCGCTATGCCAGAGGACATGTCCTTGTCATCGTCGAGCAACTGCAGAAAGTACTTGACAACATCTAAGAAAATAGTTTGTTAATATTGAACAATTTAATGACATTTCACGGTCACTTACCAAATTCTTCGCTCGTTTTTGTAACTTGTGGCATCTTAAAAGTAAATTTTATGCTGTTATTTCTCGCCGTCAACAATTGCGATATAAACAGCTGTTTTCTTGCGCGGGGTGATTACACGTTACGACAGGCTGTGGAGATTGGGGATGGAATTAATTAATTAATTGATTAACAAACCAATTAGTAAGCTGAAAGCAGGCAATTTACATATTTAGCAGATATCATAACACCTTACTTTTATATCTATAATGCGGCAAATGGCATAACGGAGTTTTTATTCCCTAATGACGTGCATGCCAGTGTTGCTTGTCGACGGGCACATTATTAATTTAACCAACACTGAGTGCCGGGGCAAAATAGTAAACAATTGAATATTGTGGCAAATGTTATTTTGTTTTTATTTTATGTTTCGGCATAACATCGTAACAAAATTAACGAAATGTGCATTAAATTAGAGAAGGAAACGTTCAATTAACTAGGGAACCCACTTGAGCTTTGGTTAATGCGCTTTACCAACGTGTAGTCGTGGACAGCGACAATGTTTAAGCTAGAGTCCTACATAACACCAATTTTGCTGAACTACGTGGCGAAATATGTTAACATTCGTGACGAAGATGCACAGGTGTCGCTGTGGGAGGGCGAGGTATCGTTTCAGAATTTGGACCTGCGCCTGGACGTGCTCGAGGAGGAGCTGAATCTGCCAATTGAGCTCGTCTCCGGCCACATACACGAGCTGTCCATCCAAGTGCCCTGGACAAAGCTAACATCGGAGCCGGTGCGCATAGAGATCAATACCATTGAGTTTGTCGCCAAGCTGCCCAACGAGGAGAGCAAGCAGCGTCGCGCCGCCCGGCTGCAGGAACAGCGTCGCAAACGCACTGCGGCCGAGGCCGAGGAGCAGCAGCAGGCCCCCACCAGCATTCCCGCTGTGGTCAACAAGATCATCAACAACATCAACTTGCAGTGCCACAACATCATTCTGAAATACGTCGACGATGACATTGTGGTCTCCATGAATGTGCAGTATTTGAACTTCAGCGCCGCCGACGAGAAGTGGCAGCCAGCCATGGTGGATGTGAATCCCGTGAATGTGTTTTTGCGCAAACTGCTGCAGGTATCCGATTTAACGATATGCCTGGACAAGCGAAACACAGCTGGTCGTATTGAGGTGTGCCAGGAGCCGGTTCTATACCGTTGCACACTGGAGCTGCGTGTGCTGCGGAAACACAATGTGAATACCATGAGCACCATGAGCACCACGCGGATTGGCGTCTTCACCAAATCGCTGGACATTAATGTGTCGTCGATGCAGCTGCCGATGGTTATGAGGCTGGTTAAAATGCTACTGGAGCTGAAGCCCGCTGAAATTGAGGAGGAAATCTTTAGCTTGGAGGCGCCGGTGGCGACTCCCAATGTCGGCGGCCCCACAAATCTGGTCTCAAGCGACGTGGTCACAACTTCTTTATTTTCGCGTGCATGGAATTTGTTTCCCAGCTTCGAGACACCACCGACCTCGGCAACTGTCGAGGATCCCGTTGGGCATGCCTTCGATGTGGGCGTCTATGCGGAGGAATTGAATTTCCAGCTCAAGAACTCGGAGCTAATCACCGACCAGGCCATGGGCGGCATCAAGCGCATACGCTATACCCCAATTCTGCGCATCAGCCTGGGCGGCATATACTACGAGAGGTCGCAGCTGAAGGAGAGCGATTGGACGAATGTGCGGGCGGGCCTGTCCAGTATTTGTATGGAGCCGTTGGGTGTCTATCGCAGCGAAGATCCCATGGATCGCAGCCTGGTCAACACAAAGGAGGTAGTAGTCGATTTTCCATTCCATTCTCTTGACTCTAAGTTGTTGTCCTTTTCCTTTTAGTTCCACAACGAGCGCGCGTTCATTGACAAGAGTCTGTTCGATGATCAGTACACGTTCGCGGATCGCAGTTGGTCCAGCCACAATCACGACGATTACTTCGCACGCAACACCGACGAATATATGCTCTTTCGCAGTCCGGTGCTCGCCTTCGACATTGTCGAGTGCCGTGCGCCGCGGCCCGCTAGGGGCCAAGCCTCGCCGGAGGCGCAGCTGAGAGATCTGGGCCTGCGCGTCAAGTATCGAGTGCTGTCCGCGGGCATAACATTCCATTTTACGCAGTCATTTCTACAGGTTAAAAATGTAATTAGTGATTTATTGCGTCCTTACGATTACACAGGATATCATGCAGAGACCGTAAACGACAACGTCATCAGCCCTGTGAGCAGGGAAGAGGAGTACAAGAACCGGTACATGACTTATGCCGATTTTGAGTACCTGATGGGCTTTATGCCTATGTGCAACTATAAGATTGAGTTGCGTGACATGACCGTCAAGTTCTATCCGCGACAGCAGAGTGACGAGAGCTCCTCGGCCGCCAATCAGCATCGCTTGACCACCACGGTCAACCAATCTCTGCTGCCCTATCTGCAGCTGAGGCTGGCCTTCGCCGAGGGTGTCATTTGTGGACCGGCCAATCCGCAGCGTCTGGTGCAGCTGATCACCCATCTGGAGGACAAGCCGCGCGAGATAATCGAGTCCTGCTATAATGCGTACACGTTTAATGTCAAGAATTTGTCGTTGTCGGCAATCAATACCACGCCGGAGATGGGCACGGCCAAGCTGTTGAATATACCCAGCATGCAGGTGCAGTTCAAGAGCCTCCTCTTGCCCAATTATTGGCGCCGAAATGTGGCCGCTCTGGAGACGGCCGAGGTACAATCGGAGCTGATTAACGTGGAGTTCTCCAAGCGTGAACTCGTGCTAACCACACGCATCATACCCCTGATATTGGGCTACAATGGCCCCCAGCTGGGCGCCCTGGCCAAGCTGACCGCACAGGCGAACAACTCCTCGGACGTGATCAAGCTGCAAACGCTCATCACCAAGGTGCGGCTCAACTATCGCAAGTACCACACGCACCTGGCCATGTTGTTCTCGCTGCGAAACATGAGCACAGATGTTTACCACACGATGATGAACATTCGAAACGTGGTCTTGTCCACAAATAAGGGCATCACCAACAAATGGCTTGAGCTGCAGTTGCAGGTTCCGCTTCAGGACTCGAAGCTGGACAGCAAGCTAATACCCGCCAATGCGGTGTGCCTCTGGATCGAAAGTTTTCGCATCACACTAGACATCTATTTGTTGCAGTTTCTCAACTCTTTCGAAAATCCCGAGCCGTGCATTGAGAATGGTAAGTCCCCTCTTCTCCTAGATATGTACACAAAACGGAATGTTGAAACCGACTCAAGGAGTTTAGGAAAAACGGTGAAGACTATCAACATTTTTAGTATTTAGCATTCATGTCCTAGATAAACGCCTTTATATATACGGCCGGACGGACAGGCGTGTGGACATGGTTAGTTGCATTCTCTAAGAAGCACAGGGAAAATAGTTAATGCCGAGTTTGATCAAGATATCTTGATAAACAACAAAGTTTTTCATACAAGAGCCTCACTTTCGACCGATCGTTCCTATGACAGCTATATGATATAGCAGTCCGATGTTAACAGGATTTTGCATATATACGAAGAGCATAGCAAAACTAATAAATGCCGAGTTTAGTCAAGATATCTTAATAAACAAAAAGCTTTTTCATACAAGAAAACATAATACATGCGTAAAACAGACAGAAGCAATCGGAAATATATATACTTAATGGGCTCGGAGATATCTCCTATGACTCCTACCCTCTACAAGGGCATTAAAATAATAATATAATATTAAACACTTATTATTATTATTCAACTTTTTTTCCGCCTTGTTTTAGATTTGGAACCCGAGTTTGATTCATACAGTCTATCCGAAAAGCTTCCGTCGAATTCGAACTTTTCGATGGCTTCGGTGCCAAAGTTGTCGCAAATGGAAGTGAATATGCGTCGCCTGAGCCGGACGAATAGCCGCAAGATCTCTGTGCCCGCAGAGACGATACACGCAAGCACCGAACGCGACGAGAAGCCGGCCACGCACGTGGAACCCGTAAAAATGGCGCCAAAAAGCGAATCGAGCGGTGATCAAAGCATCGAATTGATCCAGTTGATGAAGCGCCTGAGAACCATAGTTGTGGTCATGGAGATAACAAAGGTGCGGATCGATGTGTGCGAGGTGATGCTGCGCAGGGCCAACAAGGATGCGGATGTGGAGTACACATCGATTCGATTGGACCGCCTGAAAATCAAGTCGAGCCACGCCGACGAGGTGCTGCGCGGCAACATACGCACCGTCATCAGCGTGACGAACAATGCGGAGCTCTGCAACTGGGTTATGGAGCTGAAGGATTTCGCCGTCTGCTATCGCCTGGGCGACACAACCGAGATGATTGTGGCTCCGGTGCGGACAACAATCACGCTCGCCCTGTCCCACAAGATAGCCGAAAAGGTGCCGGAAGCGCTGGACTCCAAGTCCAACAAGCGTTCCGACTCGTTTATCGAGGAGGCCAAAATTGAGGGCCAGTCGGGCTCCAAGAAAGTCGAGTGGCAGGAGGAGCCGCAGTACAAGGCGGAGCTGCCGAGCACCTACTCGATCAATGTGCACGTGGACATGTCAGCTATCAATATCTTTGGCCGTCATGTAGGTGTCCCGATTGGTCTTGGATATTCTATCTGTAACCAGCTCTCCTTTTATCTCCTTTACAGCTTAAACTCATGCATGATCATTACGAAATCCTCAACGCGGTCTACACTTCGCTTCTCTCCTTGAGCGCCGGCTCGTGCCAAACGCATCGGGCGGAGCGCCGGCCCAGTCTGGAGATTTACACGGGCAGCGCACAGAACTATGCCATGCTGAAGGAGTTTCTCGAACTGGATCCCAACTTTAAGCCGACCGCTAACACCCCAGGTTATATAAGTACTTATAGATTATCCATTGACTATTTAGTTACATTTTGTGTTTTTTAGATCCGAAAGTGAAGGCCTCCTTGATATTTTTTTGTCAGTGGACTATTCCGCGCATTTCGCTGGAAGTGGAGGGCTTTTGTGATTACAAGCACCGCAAGCTCTTGTTGAGCTTTGAGGATCTGCTACTGAACGTGGACAGGCACGAGGACTTCACCAAGGTCACCACTAAAGTGGAGAACTTCAGCCTGAACTACTATGAGGCGATCGTGCTAGACGAGTGGCAACTCATGGACGACTTTCACATCAAAATGCTGGGCGACAATATGAATTTGCCGCTGATCAATGTTGTCGTCACAACTGTCAGCCTGCAGGATCTGCACTCAAAGATTGGGGCTCGCGATCTGCTTAGTGAACGTCGCACAATCTCCGAGCTGATCATCGAGGTGCAGCCCATCGAAATAATCTTGCATGTGGATCGCATTAGCGAGTTCTTGGTATCCCAATGCGAGGTCTTTGAAATAATGCGCAGCGGTTCAACCAAAGAGGTCGCCAAGACCCAACCGGAAGCTGTTAAGGATAGCATTACGACTGTGCATGATTTGCCCATGGTACATCTGAACAGCAAGGGCATCTTTATCTACCTGCCCGTCGAGTCGGAGAAGAAATGCTGCAGCGTGCTCTTGCTGCGGGTGAGATGAGCATTAATTCCATAAGAAATCATTCCTTAATCCTTTCTGTACCTCTCTCACAGATCGAGAGTATCAAGCTGACGCCGAGTGTGGAGAATCCTCTGGTGCGTCAGCCCATTCGCCCGGATGTATACAACAAGGCAGCGGAGCTAAATATGCTGAGCACGCCGGGCTCCCTGGTCGAGGATCGTCAGTACGAGCTGAGCGTGCGCAGGATTTCGCTCTCCTCAGGCAACTGGCTGCAGACGCAGAAATATCGCACGGAGGCGACGCTGGTGAACAAGCACAGCAATCCGGCTCTGGAGTGGAACAATCAGACGCGTTCCACAGAGCTGGAGCACATGGATATATTCAAGGACTTTGATTTTATCACCGTTTTTGCGCCAGCCATCAGCTACGATCGGTTTTTGGTATGCGGCGAAAGCGTCGAGTTCAATTGCGTGACGGATTTTGTGGCGACGCTGAATACGCATCAAATTCACCTGATCTCCTGCATCATAAATCGTGTGCAGCGGCTACGCGGGTGGGTCCCTCACTTTTCCTCCAAGTAAATCAAATAACATGTTTAAATTCCTCAGCATTCTGGGCCAGAGCTGTTTGGAAACATGCCCCAAATCCAGACTCCCTGCGATTGTCGGCAGCCTGAAGCTCTCCGTAGCGGATGTGCAACTCGCTCAGTCGATCTGGTCGCAAACGCATAAAAGTAAACTGAATAAAGATTGGGCGAAGGCGAAGGCGAAGGCGCCTGCCTTCGGCAGCTTTGCGGATGCCCACAGCAGCGACACGCTGCTCGTCTCCTGCCAGAGCGACTCGGGCATTAATATACCCAAAAATACAATTGGTGTCCAGGTGCCGCGAAACTATACGTTGGACTCGCAGAACCAGCTCGGCGTCACAAAACAAAAATTGAGCTATCCGCGCAGCGTCTCCTTTGTCGCAGGCATCTTTGCGCTCAGAGTCTACGATGTGCTCGAGGAAAAGGATGAGCTGAAGTTCCGACCGCTGCTGCTGGTGACCGTATCGCAGCCGAGTTTTATGTCCACGCAAACGCCGCGTGCTGTCATTACCCAGGCTTCCGTTTTTGACTTTAATATACATTTGGCCAGGTCGGACACGGAGCGCGACTTCGTCAGCTATGATGAAGCTCTGAACGGGCAGTTCAGCGAGCCCGTCTTCGACACGCAGCCCGGTACGCTCGGCAGCTCCGGCATTCCACCGCCTCTTTTCACCCTGAAGACGCAAGTCGATAGGAACCAGCACGTGGACGTGGACATCGAGCTGCGCAAGCCTATGCAGCTGAGCCTATGCGAGAGCAGCGTCAAGCTGCTCTCCAGCGATCTTATACGCATCTACTCCTTGTTGAGCCTTACTCCTTACTTTGCCCAGCGCAGCGAGAGGCCTGTTGTGCACACCACGCACATGCGCCAGCTGAAGCTGCAGTGCTTCAATGCGGATCGCCTGCATTTCGTTTGTGACCGGGTCACCGTCAAGTTCTACGACGAGGCGCAGAGCTACAGCTGCAGCGCCGTCTGCCTGGACTTTAATGCCAACGTCAAGTTCACGGACCGGCCACAAAAGGCCTCCATTAAGTCGACGCTGGGCGCCTTCTATGTGCATACCGGCGATCAGATACTGCTGCATCCGCTGCTGATACGCCTCTCCGCGGATCTGCTCAGTGAATCCTGGTGCGATCAGCTGCTGACCAGCATCACGCTCAAGCTCAACGTGCTGCACGTCGATGCGAGCATCCAGAACATTTTGCATCTGAGTCAGGCGCGCGATGGACTGGACAACATTAAAACACACGCTGACCAGGAATGGCAGCACTTTCTGCAAGAGCGTCCATCGCTGGGCCAGCCGCCGGCAAATCCGCCGAAGGAACTCTTGAAGTACACGCCCTCCCAGGCAGAGATTGTGCGCTCCAAGACTGCGCAGAAAACCAAGATTGAGTTCTACCAGGACGACTTGCGGTCCGTTTGTGAAAGATTATTATTTTCTCGACGCGTATTTAAATATTCTTATTTATATTGCAGCGCGGGCGCCTTTCAGTTTGTCTATCTGAACACGGACACCATGCTGCCAATGCCCTACCAGGTGCAGATCATCAAAAAGAACTATGGCATCATTTGCTGGCGCTATCCGCAGCCGCGCCAGATGAGCCGCATACACATCTATCCCGTGCCAATGCCCGTAAGTTGTTCAAATGTTGTCCTGATCTCTGCCATAGCTTGAATTTTTATCCGCGCAGGTGGAGAATCCCATACACATCCAATGCCGCATGGAGTACTTCAGCGAGACACACGAAACATTTTTGCACTATTGTGATTTCGAGCTCTCGGAGATTGCCAGCAAGCAGTTAACGCCGCCGGATCGCAACATTAGCGCGACAATTTGGCGCGTGGTGATCATGCAATCGCTCATCTCTGTGAACGGCTCCTGCTTCGATCCGGAGGAGGATGAGGATCTGCAAACGGTGAGCGTGTGCACATGCTTATAAGCCGTCACCTTATCAATCCCCTTTCAGATCGAGAGCAGCCGCTTGGAGTTTGACTTTAGGAAATGTGACAACAATGATTTTATCCTGCATCCGAAAGTTCTGGTGGGCTGCATGCGCATCGATACCACCTTCCAGGCGGATCTGGTGCCCAAGCTGCAGCTGCTCGTGTGCTGTCAGAATATTAAGTTGAACTTCTTGAACCAACCGGACGCGTCGAATGTGCTGCCGCCGCCGCTCCGGAAATATTATTTGCGACGCATCACGAAAATAACGCAGACATTTCTCACCGTGCACGTGGATGATGTGCGGCTGCACGCGTCCGTCTATACGCCGAATAATTACAGCGTTGAGACGGACTTTCGCAGTCGCATTAAGTGCCTGGACTATGGCTGCCTCAATATGCTGGACATCATGGAGCCCATGGCTTTTCATAGCTATTTGCGGTTTAACAGCGCAAAGAGCTTGCTGCAGGCCAACTTTTTGCTGGACAAGCTGCGTTTCAATTGTGGGCCCTGCGTGATACACACGCTGCTCTGCTCCAAGCAGCACTGGCAGGAGCTGCTGCAGCAGCACGACGTCGTGCACACCCTAATGCCCAGGTGCGTGATCGTCAATCGCATGCAGACGGCTTTTGTCTTCGGCCAGACGGGCACAAGCGAACGGATCCCGGTGGCAACCCAGGAGATGCGTCCCTACTATTTCTGCAGCGATAGTCACGGTCAGGAGCTAACGTTCCACATCGAAGATGCGGACACGCATCAGCTGGAGGTCAGCGAATCGGTGCCGATTGCTTTAAAGTTCGAGGACGAGCACCAAGTGCGTCATGTGCGCGTCGGTCAGCGCTTCCTGACCATCAAGCTGAGCAAATTGTCCGCCACGCAGGTATATATCCTGGTCAAGGGCCAGATTGAGCTGGTGAGCATGGTGCCCTTTGAGCTGCTCACCGAGTTTCGAACTGAGGGCAATCCACAGGACGAACAACAGACACATTTGCTGCCTGCCAAGGGCCGCGTTTCCTTTTACCAGGATGTGGCGCGAAATGCCGACATCAGCATGAGGTTCGTGAACCTGAAATATATAGCAGACCCCTAGAACTGACTCCAAGGAGCAGGACTTGCCTCTTTGTGGGACCATCCCTTTTAGATTATTATAAATATTGTTACACACACGTTGTAATCGCCCACCATTTATTTTTCAGGCTCAAGCTGAGCTCGAGTCAGGGCAAAGGACGCACTGGAGACATCCCGCTTAAGTCGAACAACAGCCTGCCCTGGCTGGTGAAGGTGCCGACCCAGTTGCCGCAGCAGTTTATCAGCTTTTGGGTGCGCATTGTGCGCGAGGACATTCCGCTGGGACTTATCGATGATGATGATTTGTCGCCGCAAAGGATACTCGTCAGCATTTGGCCCATATTCGAGATCTGCAACTTGCTCAGCTGCGAGCTGCCGGCAACGGAAAGCAGCACTGAGGAGCAGTTCATTATTGCTGCGGAGGGAGGTCGCCAATCCTTGAGCACGGCCACAACGCACTCCACGGAGCATTGCGTGAAGTTCAAATTCCCGTACGTTGACCATATAAATAATTTATATTCCTTTTCCTAATCTATCTCCTGTTGATGATCAGCTGCGCCCTAGGCCCCGCCTCGCAAGGAGAATACACTTTTATGCTCAAGTCCATCGACTGGCACAAGTTTTTCCACTACGAGCCCGCGGATTGGCCCATTGAGCGCACGCTGGACCAGTTGGACAGGACTCTTAAGCCCAAATGGCCGCTAAACGATGCCGAGGAGCTGCGCGTGCATCGACCGTTCAAGCTGCTCGACCAGCTGGATGTCCAGTACCGTGCGCAGGCGACACGCGAGTTCTCCTGCACCCTCGGCCTGGAAATTGCCGCCTGGGGCATGTTCATCAACGACACGGATCTGGATGTAAGCATCTGTTTGCCGGCGGCAGGCGCTCGCCATCTTATCCGCGCCAACTGCCTGGAAATGCTGCCCGCGCTAGGCGGCTACTTTACAATCGCAGCGCCCGTCGCCTCCAGTTGGATATCCTCGCTGCCCATCTGCCTGGAGAATCAGACGCAGGCGGCGGGTGGCCTGGGGCGTCATGTGCTTTTGCGCGCCAATTCGTATGTGGACATAGTCCTGGTGCGCTGTGCGGATGTGTTGCGTTTGCTGCTCGAGTTCAAGCTGGAGGATGGCCATCGCGTTTTTAAGCTGCGCTCCAAGTTTGTGATCGCCAACTTCTCGGACGTCACGCTGTCTGCCCTGCCGCTGACCATGGACCACAAGGAGACCGCGTCGCGCTCCGATGTTAATGCTCTGGATTTTCTAAGGACCATTCGTAAGCTAGAATCCTTGAAGGCCAAGCAGCATAAGTGAGTGCATCCAAATGCATTAATCTTATCTGGCGGTAATTGATCTCCCTTTTCCTCCCTTCCTTAGCAACATTGGCGTCTCCGTGGAGCTGTTCCACGATCTGAACGCTCACAAGTCCAAGCACACGAGCGACACTGCTTTCGTCTACTTTATGTGCTTCACCGTGGCCGGCAAGCAAGACATTTGCATACCCGTGCCGCTGACGCTGCCCTTTACGCGCCGTTGCTTCAATCTGCAGGACGGTAGCGATTCCATACCCTTAATGATCAGCCTCATCGAGAAGGACAATGTGTACTATCTGAACGTGTTCCGCGACACGTCGCCGGCCCTGATCATAAACAACAATACGAATGTGAAGCTTGTGGTGGCCCAGACGAGCGCCTCGGGCAACAGCAATGTGACCTGCACCTCGCCCGAGCTGGCGGGCAAGCACTTCGAGTGGAATCAATTGATTGCGCCGTTTAGCAAATGCTACTATACGCCGCCCCAGATGTACGCCAACTTTCCCGACGTCGAGTTCACCATGTGCAACCTGTCCCTGGCCCTTTACAGCGGTGAGTCTTGGACTACCAAAAAGATTCCGACTCAGCAACTATTTCTCCTTGCAGATTTAGTTGCTTGTGGCAAGCACAAGATTAGCTGGTCGAAGCCGATTCGCACGGACAAGTCGTGGCAGAAGTTCATACATGTGCCCAACCATGGCGACATCAAGGTCGTGATCTGTGATAAGCATCGAGCAATACGCTTCAACATCTACTACATAGCTCAGCAGCTGGAGTTCTCCGTTAAGGATCTGCGCTCGCGCCTCAAACAGCCTGAAAGCACGGCACAGCCGCAATTGCCAGAGGTCGCCGAGGAGCAGCCGACCCGGTCGGAGGTGGAACCCTCTGGCTGCGAGCCGGAGCATCGAACCGTTGACTGCATCCACTTTAGGCAGGAGTGCGAGGCGCATCTTACGATCGCCGTGCGCTTCTTCGTGAAGAGCTTCGTCTTCAGCCTGCACACAAACGATCGGGATCGGGATTATCTGAAGACCGAGGTGTGCAACATATATGCGGACGATGTCATGTTGGCCTACGACGACGACGAGGACGGACAGCGTGTGCTGCAGCTGCAGCTGCCCAATCTGCAGGTGGACAATCAGCTGTACTCCAATGGCAAATACGATTTCCCGGTGCTTCTGTGCGCCCAGAAGCTATACAAGCGCGACAGCTGCCTGCCCAAGGTGTACGATCTGGAGGAGCTGTATCGCAGCCAGGCGCGGGGCACGATTTCAATGATAACCTTTGTGCTGTACGAGGATGAGCTGCAGCTGCAGGCGGTGCGCTGCCAGCTGCAGCCCCTGCGCGTCTACATCGAGGATGCGTATCTCAACCAGCTGCTGGACACGCTGGTCGAGTGTGCGCCCTCCAACTGTGTCTATACGCCGCGCGTGGACACCAAGCGCGTCGTTCTGGACGCCGGCCAGATATGGCTGCCGGAGCAGGTGGTCGCCCAGGCGCGCTACATCGCCGAGCCGCTGCGTCTGAACAGCTTTATTGTAGAGCCGCTCAGTCTGCTGCTCTCGGTGCACACATCCTCGCGCTTGTATATCGCACTGGATCATTCGCCTCTCTCCTTCTCCCGTTACGAGCGCGAACAGATTCTGACCGTGCCGCTGCGCTTCGGCCAATCCCTGGGTCTGCACTATCTGAGCGGCGCCATCTTTGGCGCCGGCTGGGTCGTCGGTTCGCTGGAGATACTGGGCAGCCCGAGTGGACTCGCCCGTTCGTTTACCACGGGCATGCGCGACTTCATTTCGATGCCCGTCCAGGGACTGTTTCGCGGCCCTTGGGGCTTCCTTGTGGGCATCACCCAAGGCTCCGCCTCGTTGCTGCGCAATGTCACCGCGGGCACGGTCAACTCGGTGACCAAACTAGCCGGCTCGGTGGCCCGTAACATTGATCGACTTACGCTGGACTCGGAGCACATTGAGCTGACGGAGGCGCGACGACGCGCTCGACCCCAGGGTTTCGCGGATGGCCTGACCCTCGGCCTAACCGGGCTGGGCATCAGCCTGCTGGGCGCGGTCGGCGGCTTGGCGCATCATACGCTGGAGGCGCGCAGCTCCGTAGGCGTCCTGACGGGCCTGACCAAAGGCATTGTTGGCGCCATAACCAAACCCATAAGTGGTGCGGCCGAAATGCTGGCTCTGACGGGGCAGGGCGTGCTGCATACGGTCGGATTTAATGCCATGCCGCAGCAGGTGGAGCCGAGCGTAACGCGGAATGTGGCATTGCATACAAGCTCCTATCGCATCTGGCGTTTCCTGCCGCAGCAGCTGAGCAGCGATCAGATACTGTGCTTCCAGGAGATTACCCTGCTGCTCGGTGGCCACCTGCAGCCGGCTCTGCTGTTCCTGACATCCGCCGTGCTGGTTATTACGGAGCTCAAGTGTGACGATCTGAAGTTCATTTCACCCGTGCTCAAGGTGGAGCTGCTGGCGGATCGCGACGATCCCTCCAAGCTGTACCTGAGCCTGAAGCCCGAACAGGCCGACGACATGGAGGGCGTAAGCATTCCGAATGGGCTAATCTTTTGTCTTATGTACAGTAATCTTATCCCTTTTCCTTGCAGCAGATGAAGTACACCAACGAGCGCATCATTAGCTTCCTGAACGCATCCCGAACCCATGGGCCGACCAACGATACTCTGAGCGATCTGCTGCAGTTGCATGAACAGGACCAGGACCAGGACGAACACGACGCTCGCCGCCAGACGCAGTGCATCTTCTACATTAGACCCAACCTGGGCGAGCATTTAATACACTACCTGAAGGTCATCAGCCAAACCCGAAGAAGCTAAAGTGGGCGAACCTGTACAGAATGTATTGTTAACTAGATGCATATTTGTACATAATATTTATTCTAATATAGTCTACGTGCATCCGTGTTTCGTGCATCACATTCCCCCAAGTATTTCTGACTCCGACTCTGTACACTTTATACCAAAAACAAAAAAAAAAAACACAAATAAGACAATTTAGCAAACTATATTTGTTACCTTTTTGACTGGTTGCACTTTTTGCAATAAAAAACGTAATTCTTAAATATTATTCTATTTGTAAACAAAAAAAGGTCGTTATTATATCGGTTCGAACCTTATTAACATATTTTTGTCTTTGTATATTTTTTTGGTGCACAAATAATTCTTTCAAAAATTCTTATATTGAATTTATAAATTATATTAAAAAAGTCTCTTCATATAATTTTTTTGATGAAGAAATATTTTTTTAAGCAAACAAATTCTTATAATATATTAAATTTATGAATACAAGGATCAAACATTTAAAACTTTGCAAATAACATGTCGATGGCTCGTCCTTGAGCCTGGTTTTGGTTCGATTTTCAAGTTCACATTAAAGAATTCCTTTCGTGTATTATATTATTATAAATATAATTGCAAGCTTCAAAAGCATAATGTCTTATTAGATTACAATGAAATTGTCTTAAATGTTCGGAATACTGATGTCAGATTTAACTTGTGCTTGCATGTCGAATCGCGAGTTATTGAAAAGTTTAGAGCAGGATGTCCTCTTGGAATTTCCGCTCACGTGCGCCAAGGACAACGTTTTCCTGTAGTGGTACATAAAGCGTGCCGCAAAACTCAATTTAATCAAATTGATTTTAGCTAAGACCAGCAGTAAGCGAGCAACAAAACTATGTGGCCGACCAGCGCACAAATACCAACAAAATGGCCAGGACACGGGCGAACTCTGGATGCAAGTGCACTGCGAGGAGGCTGCCAAGAACTTCAGTCGCCGCATCGTAAGTAGAGCTCAGAACAACAACTAGGCAAGAAGACTCTCACTGCGCCGTAAGTAGTCGACTAGGGGATGCCAACGACAATATAAAAATGGGAACGAACACGAAATCATTATCATTTGCACTCTCACAGCCGAAATCTTAAAGCGTAAAAATAGAATTTACTCTCAGCTTCGGCTCTCTCAAAGACAATATAAACACTCAGAAGAGTAACGACATACCACAAAGTGCAAAACGAAAACGAAATCAGTTTCGTTGCGCATTAAAAATATAATTTACTCTCAGCTATATGGCTATATCTGTATTTTTAAGTCGATGCACATATATATATAATTTTTTCCCTATCTTTCTATCCTTAAGGCTTTTAAAAATTTACGAAACTGGACGCTTTTACACAGATGGTCAGCAGTCGTCGTGGCTAACTATGAAAAGTCATTGTGTACAGGGTATAAAACAATAACAACAAAAGCAGCAAAACCATAAAATTTACTTGGAGCCAACCGCCGCAGCAAATTGCTTCGCATTTTTTCGCTTAAAATATAATTTGCTTGGTGGTTGGGCGCATGGCTGCGCTGCACGCGGCTGCATAACCAAAGGATTCAATTATATTATGGCCACCACCTGCCCAAAACCACAGCATCATACTCTCATATGGCTGACTCTGTGTGTGCGTGTGTCTGTGCGTGTGTGTGTGTGTGTTTGTGGGCATCTACTGCATACATGCGGGCACATTATTCATACTAAAAAGTCCGCAATAAGCTCACCTATTTAATATACTATAAATAAACATTGCTTACAATAGAATCCTTATAAGGACATTAGATATATAGCCATCAATTGTTCTTAAAGATATGTGCACTTTACGACTTGTTTTGGCTTTCGCAGCAAAGTTTTGCCTTTGTGTTCCGGTTCCGTCTCAGCAAATGTGTCTATGTGTGTGTTCGTTTGCGTGCGTGTGTATTGTGCACTTGCGTTGCGCTTAAAAGTAGGCAACGAATTGTGTCAGGCACAGACGGTTTCCTTTGCCTTTGACTGCGCTGAGGGCATGCGGTGAGTGGTTGTAGCTACTCTTACCTTCGGATGCAGCACTACACCCAGACAGATTCCTTAAGCGTGGGAGCTTTATGAGGTAATGTATCTATTGAGGCATTTTAAGATCGGCGTTTCAATCTATAACTTGTCCCAAAATGTATTTATTCATTACATTCCATGACTTTGATTATTAATGATTATTATTTATATTTAATTCATATACCTTAAATTTATACATTCTTTAAATGAGTTCTTGAGTCCGCTCTACATGACTATCGATAATTCCTTATTATTAGTAATTAACATGTGTCTTATACATCTATCTTAAACTATTTTGCATCTGTCTGTTGACAATCTATCTTATACAATCTATCTTATACTACTCTCCATCTGTCTTTTGACAATCTATCTTATACTATTCCCCATTTGTCTTTTGACAATCTATCTTATACTATTCCCCATTTGTCTTTTGACAATCTATCTTATACTACTCTCCATCTGGTTTTTGACAATCATTCTTATACTACTCTCCATCTGTCTTTTGACAATCATGCTTAGACTTCTCTCCATCTGTCTCTTGACAGTCTATCTTATACTACTCTCCCTCTGTTTTTTGACAATATATCTTATACTACTCTCCATCTGTCTCTTGACAGTCTATCTTATACTTTTCTCTGTTTTTTGACAAACTTTGAAAAGTTGAAGGATTTTCAATTGACTAAACAACTTTATGAACTATCAAAACCAACTAACTCTTGTCCTGCAAGTGCAATATTTATTGAATTTCGAAATGTTCGATTTATGGGTCAACTAATGCATTTGTAACTGCAAATGAAAATCACTTCGAGCAGAAATTATAAACTTTATTATGCATTTAGTGTGCTTCCAGGCGAATGAGTTGCATAAACATAATTACCTCCGAGCTGTCAATCAATTATTTATGGCGGCTGGTTAACTGCTGTGACAGGCAGGATATACTCTACATGGGCTGGAGAATCATAGGGCATTAGAACCCAAGGACTTGACAAATCGCCTAATGTTTTTTCGACATAAGTGCATGAGTTTCGCTCATATTTATTTAACTTTATACAAAAACGGGTAGGAAGGGCTATCTTTTCTCGTATGTAAGAAGTATAGGCCAAATAGTTAATGCCAAACAATTTCCATACAAGAACCTCATGTTCGACCGATCGTGCCTATGGCAGCTATATGATATATGGATATGGACCGATCTAGTCGGTTTCGTCATATGTACTGCGTGCAACAGAAAGAGAAAGAGAAAGAGAGAGAAACAGACGGACGGACAGACTCGGCTGTTGATACTAATTAGGAATATATATGCTTTATGGGGTCGAAGATGTATCCTATGCGTTACACAATTAACAACAAAATTATCATACCCTCTGCAAGGATATAAATATACATACATATTTATTTTTGCGTGCGTGCATGTGTTAAGGAAAGTAAATAGGGTACATGCTGTCATGGAGTGGAAATTCATGAGGGGGGCATCCCAGCATTTGGGTACATTGTGCACATCTATGCAAATATTAGTGGCACAGGCCTCAAGCGATTTAAAAGGCGCCCAATGCGAGATTTTCCGGCACAGATGCTAAATTACTTTGACATATACAGACACACACACACGCACACCCCTCCACACACACGCGCACATAAAGCAAATAAAGGCAAATGCAATTTTCTCAAAAATTGTAACTTATGAAAAATTGATACGGCAACAACACAAAATACGGCTCGAAGGTACGTAAATAAATGTATGTATGTGTGCATGTATGAATGAATGTAAGCATGTATGAAAACATGTTTGTATGCATGCATGTGTGCATGTATGTACGCATGTGTGTATGCATGTATGGATACATGAATGTATGTGTGTATGTATGCATGTGTGCATGTATGTATGCAAGTATGTATTCTTGTATGTCTGTATGAATCCATACATGCATGTATGCGTGTATGTATGCTTGTATGCGTGTATGTATGCAGGTATGCGTGCATGTATGCATGTATGTATGTATGTATGTATGCATACACGTATGTACATACATAGAATGTATGTATATGCACGTGCTGTCAGACTTTTCCTTGGCATATGTATGCAACCATGCCTGCCATACTTCACGTCTTACATGGACGCCACAGGGCAACCGGATTATATCTATTTGCATACAGCTTTCCCAGCTTTCCATCTTGGCCCGAAGCGCAGTTTACGGACAGGGATTTTTATTAATCTGTTGCTCTGGATCCGGTTGTTGTGCGTGAATTTCAGATCTTTGTGTGCAAGTTTTTTCCCTATTTGGATATTTAATGCTGGAAACGCTTTGGATTTTGAGTAAGACGCTTTATTCACAATTCACAGAGGCTGAGACATACTTAAATATATACATAAATATTTTTATATATTTACACAATTATCTTTGACAAATCAAATCAACAAGAATATTTATTCTCGGTATGCCGAAGATTAAGTAATCGACCCTATCAAATTTTCAATATATTTTTAGACTAGACACAAAATTGAAATTTTAACTGACTTTTAGTAATTAGATTTACTATATTATATAGTTTTTCGACTTGGTTTTTCCGATAGTTTTTTGACCACGTTTTTCTGCTTTGTTAATATGATATGAAAACTCTGTTTTCATCCGTTTGTTCTTGGATAATAGAGCTATATAATATATTTACCTAATTTTCATCAAGCATAAATACAGACAGACGTAGTTCGCCAGATCGAACAGAATAGGGATATATATTTGTCTGGGAATTGTTACACATGGCGTGAGTAAATTGGAATACCCTATAGAAGGGTACATATATTTCATTTGTAATTCTTCTATACGAATTATACACTTAACTTATATACAAGGGGTACGGGGAGAAGTCTTCATATGCTTCATATGACTTTGTAGCATGCATACATACATATAGTTACATACATCATACACTTGTAGCATACATACATACAAACTGTTACATACATCATATATCATTTACACACTTAGATCATCAAAATTGTAACTAGACTCTTGGGTAATTTTAATTTATTTTTATTTAACACTCGGTGACATTTTGCATTTAATGAAGCCGCAATGAATATTCGTAAGAGGGAATTGGGAATACATTTTTTTAGCTGAAACTTGAATCATCTTAAAGCTGAGACTCAAATCAACTTGATGTTAAAACTCGAATCAACTTGAAGTTAAGATTTGAATCAACTCGAAGCTGAGACTCGAATCAACTTGAAGCTGAGACTCGAATCAATTTTAAGTAAAGACTCGAATCAACTCAAACCTGAGACTTGAAACAACTTGTAACTCATACGCCCTGTTGATATAGAAGCTAGTTATAGGTCTATCCATCTTTTATTTTTGCTTAGGCTAAATTCGAGAGATAGTGAGAAGAGAAAACCTACAGCCAGGTCTTGTCATCAGCTGCAGATGTGTTGATGCCTCGTCGATAGTCGTTGTTGGAGCTGCAGACGAGTTGCATCTGGAGCTCCACGTTCTCCGGGGCTGCGGCCTGTCAGGAGAGCAGCTGCGTGGTGCGACATTCCGTGGACGAGTTCAGGGAATTGCTAGACTTGTCACCGTTCCAGCGTTCCTGCATTTCCTGCTGATAGGACGATCTCTGGCCACGCCGGCTGCTGCTCAGCTGCTGCACGGGCAGCGACCGCGGCGGAACACCTGGAACGGAGGAGGAGTAGGAGAAAGCGTGGCTAAATGACAAATCATTGCCACGTAAGGAGTCGTCCTTACCACAGTGCGACACGCGATGCGACTTGGGCGAGCTGGGGCAGGCGTAGAGTATGGACTTCTGCGTGTCTGTAAGGTAACATTTATGTGTTTAAAAGTGCGAGGATTAATCTTTGGCTGAATACCATTCCGTTTGATGCGATTGTGATCCGGCGAGCCGGAGCAGGAGTAGCGCGAGGTTAGATTCTCGCGACGGTTCAGCGACTCGGCGCCCACATTCACAAAAGGACACCAGCGGAAAACCATTTTGAAGCCATAGCGGAAACTAGAAATGGAAAGTGAAAAAGGAAATATGAAAACTAAAACTTCAAAAATTCAGCTTTTTCGACAAGCCAACCAACTGGCTACTCATTAAAATCATGTTGACTAGTTGCATGTTAAAGTTAAATTTCTCGACAGCCTTTCTATGCAATTCTCAGTTTAATTGGTAGCACAACGTAATCTGTAATGCATGCAACTCGGTTATGTCAGACTTCTGACAGTCTGTCTTCTCTAATCCTATCGTTTTTCATACATTTTCAGTTGCCTTTTTCTCTTTTGTTGCTCTGCATATGTTCTGGATACCCTGTACACAATGAGGATGGCCAGCAGCGGGCACCTCCGACCGGGTCAACAGTCGACCTCCAAGACTGTAAGCTTTTAAAATTATGCCAATCTATATGTATCTATATATAACAAAGAAGCTTGGATTTGGTGAAAAATGTGAAACACCTATCAAATGAGTTTTAATGTAGATCCTTGGAAATGAATTTGGGGTCGAAAAATCACCCACCAAATATTTGAACCCCATTTCCACCAAGGAGGAATGGATTTACTCGTATCACTTAGTCGCATAACAGGGTATCAGCTAGTCGACTACACTCGGGTTCATCTCCCTTATTTATTTTCTACGAACTATGCAAGCATTTTCCCACCCCCCCCTGTCATGGCCAGAGAATCTTTGGCATATGAATGATTGGGTAGCTAACCAAGCCCTGAAACACGTCAAGCGGCTTGATTTATGTTTCAGTATTTCAGTTCGTTCGGGTCTTTATTTCGTATTCCTATGGATCGACACGGAACGACAACCCGTTAAAGGCGCCTGCAATAATAATAAAAAACACCTTCATAGCCGACATCATTTACATAAGGGCGTCGCCGAGCGACGAAGGGCACTGCTCCGGACGGGATGGGGATGGGGATGGGACGGGAAATGGGCTGTAGTTACACATGTCGGATTCTTGGCGCTAAAGTTGTACATGCACGTAGTAACCAATTCCCGCATCTCCCCCTCATCACCCCTGGTCGCTGGCAACAGTCATTGGCATGTTGACTGGGCGAAATTAATTGCAATCAGTTACGCTTCCCCTTTTGGCGGATGTGGCCCACGGACGCGACAACATCAACAGTCAATTTGTGCAAACGTAACGAACATAGTTCACTGTATATATGTCCATATATGTCTATTTATGCGTATAAGTATGTGCATGCGATACATGCGAGGGCACAGGTTGGAGCGAGGCTGGTTCTATATATAAGAGATTGTCTAGTAGGTAGAGTTCTAAAACATGGAAAGCGTCGTAAGATATGATGAACTCTTGAAAACATTTTCAGAAAAACAGTAAACAGTTTTAGTTGCATGCAATTTTCTTTTAAGTTAGGTTAGGTTAGGGTTGGGGTAAGTTAGGTTAGGTTAGGTTATGTTAGGGGAGGTTATGGTGAGGTTACTTCATGTGTATTCCGAAATATGGAACATTCATATAATTAAAAATATTTTAAGCATTTTGTATGAGCCGCCCTCGTATATGCTGTTGCGAAAGTTAATGCTAATGTCAATGGCGCGCATGATATTGATGTTAATCGCGACATTGATAATGATGATGATGGACGGCTTCATTTCCGGATAACAAGCTAAACGACCAACTGGCTAAGTGATGTACCCGAAGCCAGCTGCGAGGACCGCGTCAAAGGAAAGACCCTCGACGCAAATTACATAATTTGTTGCGGTTTGTGGTGGCGTGTGTTAGAACTTATGAGGTGGCACTCACCGGGAATTCATCCAGCAGTATATAATCGGATTGTACATAGAATTGCTCATGGCCAGCCAGTAGATAACCAAATATAGCTCCTGAATGAACGGCGCCTCGGTAATAGCCGGATAACAGGATGTGACGATGAAGTACGTGTGGAAGGGCAGCCAGCAGAAGCCGAATATCAGAACGACCACAATCATCATCTTGACCACCTGAGCGGAAAATTGAAAGTCAAAATATGAAATATACTCGCATCAAAAATTGAGACTTAATGTTAAACAATAAGCAAATGATGCGATGAGTATGAAAGAAAAGAAAACTTAGCATACTTTTTGGGGCAAAGTTCAAATTAATGCTGATGAATGTTATTAACACCCTGCACTCAGCCTTCGCTTGCTCCGCACATTTTAAAATTGGAATTCAAAATATGAAATATATTCGCTTAAAAATTCGACAGTTAATGTGTGACAATTAGCAATACGCATAAAAACCTAACATAATTTTTGGGGCAAAGTTCAGAGGACGAAAACTTAGCATACTTTTTTGGGACAAGGTTCAAATTAATGCTGACGGAAGTTATTAAAAAAAGTGGAATTCAAATTATGAAATATATTCGCAAACAAAATGTAACGCCTAATATTTAACAATAAGCAAATGATGCGATGAGTCTGATGATGAAAACTTAGCCAACTTTTGGATTGTGGACTCACCCTCCGCTTGCTACGCACATTCTCCGTTTGCCTGGGCGTGTACTCGCCAATTGTCTTGGAGCCCCACAGTTCGATGCCCACGCGCGAATAGGTGACCGTCATCGAGATAATGGGCAGAAAGTAGGTGAGTATTAGGATGAGAATATTGTAGCTAAATGGAAGGCAGAGAAACACATAACAGAGAAACCATCATAGATTAATGGGAAATAAACATTCACAAATTAATCAAGGATCATATTTAAGGATTTTATTTTCCCATACTTCAAGCTTACGAATATGTTGAAGCCCCATTTACAATGAGCTTTAATTTATAGCTACAGGATGCCATGGAATACTTGTCCTTGTTGGAACAATATATTTATTTATTTTATATCTACTTCTAATTATAAGGTCCATAAATGAAAAGTATTAATAAGTTTCTCAATTTTTACATTCATGATGCAAGGACATACATCTAGTTGAGGCTAATAAGACTTTTGATTACATATTATTACCATATTGTTACGTCGCACCGGCAAAGTGCCTTCGGTTCTCATCGTTATGTACACAATGTTCTCTCCATTTTTATTGGACTACTAGATCCTGGTTTAATGGTCTCGCGTGCCCGACTGCATTGAGGCAGGCAGTTACATTTTGATTACCCATATTTGCTTTCAAATTTGTCATGCCAAGCGGCTGTTAAAAGCTGCATATGTCTTTTATGTGGATAGCCCCTGGACAGTTGTTGATGTGCTGTCACTTATATAAGGTGCTAAAAGGGTATGATGAGCTCATAAATAACTTGGCCAGATTCTATGAAATCTGTATCGATCAAATCTCTTAACTTAAAGCAGCTAGATACATATACTTCAGAAGATAAGTTCTCATAGAGATATAGATAAAATAAATTAGTCAACTTTTCCGCTCTTTCCTCTCTCAATTGAGAAGATTTACGCTTCAAGGCATGGTCTTTGGTAAATACTTTAAATTACCTAACATTACTTTCAGTTTATTATCATTATGCATTACTTTACATTATTGAAGCCTTCAAGTTCTTATCAGGATTGTAATACAAACGCTGAAGTTAATCAAGCAGGCCTTTCCTATACTCATGACACAGCCTTATGAATCTATAGAGGATAGAGGCTATTTATTTGATTTGTAAGCGCAGTATCTTCTAGTCGGTTACTCCCGACTCTTTCTCGTTTTTATGTGTTTGGTTTAGTGACTTCTTTTATGACATAGATGCATTCCAACCCGTATCCGACTCCTACTCCCCATGATAATCTGTTAGCATAGATTGCCTCTGTCTCTGCATGCGCATCGCAGATTTCCTGATTTATGGCACGTTTACTTCAGCTTTTTTTCCGCTGACTGCATGCACACAGTCGCACACACACACACACACACACACTTGCACACACACACACATTGATTTTCTCACTTACATGTGCTCCTGCTTGGAGTGATTCGTCTGTCCGTCGGGCCATTCGGGAAAGCAGACGATGCGTGTTTTGTTCTCCATGGTCACCGGCACCTTTGGGCATTGAAATAAAGTGTTCGCATATATTAAAGGGGACAGCAATTGTTTTATTTTCGAAATGGGGAAAAGGGGAGTACCTCCTCGGTCCTGAAAAAGAGCAGCATGGGGCAGGAGATGAGCGTCGATGAGAGCCAGATGAGCGCGGCAATGGCCAAATTGCGTCGCTTGCTCATCCGCGGCTGCAACGGCTTCATAATTGCCACGTACCTGCAAGGACAAAGGGCCAAAGGACATGCCCACCATCATTATTAATGCAATCAAAGTGGCACAAGATCACGCCAAAAGCCGATTATTCTCATACGCTCAACATTTCTGAACATGTCATCAAATTGTTAGTGCCAGAACCTTTCCAAAGTAGGGGAGGTTTGAGCCAGCACGATGGTTCAAATTTCTAAACTTGGGTCTCCAGCTTATAACCTTATACTATACTAATATTAATTTATATATTTGAATGAAATATATAAGTAAAAATAATAATAGAGTATCTAGCTGAGGTTTGAGCCAGCACGATGGTTCAAATTTCGAAATCGAGGCCTCTAGCTCCCTATACTATGCTAAAATTTATTAATATAATTGAATTAAATATATAGTGAGAATAATAATAGAGTATCTAGCTGAGGTTTGAGCCAGCGCGATGGTTCGAATCTCAAAATGTAGGCCTCTAGCTTATAACTACATTCTATATTAATTAATATAATTAAATATAGCAAAAATAATAGAGTATCTGGAAATCGTATTCAACCTTTAAGGCTGCCACATTACCAACTCTTGTTTATGGCACACATTTTTGTTACTCGCCAAAAATCCAATTAGGTCTGCAAAATTTTAGTTACGCGTCGGCGAAAACGAATCCTGGTTAAAAGCCTAGTTGACTAACAATTTGATTGCCAGCATTTTGGTCTATTTTAGTTTATATAGTTTTCATTATAATTATCGATGGAAAGTAGAAATGCATTTTATTAATTTGACGGTCAAATCTTGTCAAAATTGATGAGCTGCACAAAATATTTGAAGTTTGGATTTTAGCCAATCCCAGTTGGCTTTAAATGAGCCATTCATTAATGGGGATGAATGATGGCCTACATTCATGTTTGTTACCCCTTCGAGTTTGACATATCGAGCGACAGGCATATAAATTGAGCAGTTTTTCTTGTTTTAACAAGATTGATAAGGGTAACAAATGCCACTGCCCCTCAAACCTGGCCAGCGGGCCACGCACAACTGCAATTTGTCGAGAATGTAATGATGTATGTAACGATGTATGTTACGATGCATGTAATGATGTATGTAACGATGTACATATGTAACGATGCATGTGTGTATATCGTGATGAAGTGCGGCACATTAACTCACTCACCTGTCGATTGATATGGCCATCAGAGTGAACACCGACGCACAGATACTCAGCATGGCAATAAATTGCGATACCTTGCAGTAGAGCTCGCCAAATATCCAGTCGCTGTCCAGCATATAGTAATAGTTGAAGGTCACGTTCAGACTGGAGACCATCGCATCGGCTATGGACAGGTTCACTGGGAAGAGTATACAAAAAGTGCGCTTATCAGTGAAAGTTCACCAAAAATGAAGCAAACAAAACACGCGACAAAGCTAACACAAATGAAAATCCAAATGGCAAATATAAAAGTGACAAAAAGTGTATCCCAAGCCAAACAAGACAAATGGCAGCTATGTTCGAGCTGCCGAAAACTGAATACCCTACCAAATAAATTTAATATAATAGCTCAATGTTTGCCATATGACGGAGTTATGCGATACGTTTGGCCAACTGCCTAATATATATTCTATACCTAAACATTATTATTGGGTGGCTCTAGCTCTAATAACTTACGAGATTTGCTCAAAAAACAGGCTTTCGATATCGATTTTTATCGATTGAAAACGGAGGCAAGTTATCGAGAGGAGAACCCACATTTCAAATGTCAGGTGTCTAGCTCTTATAGGTTCTGAGATCTTGCGTTCCGACATACGGACAGACGGATGGACGGATGGACAGACAGATGTTGATTGATGCTGATCAAGAATATGTACACTTTATTGGGTCGGAGATGCTTCCTTCTGCCTGTTTTACTTCTCTTTGTACCCATTTCTAATAAATTCTTATAATAATATAAGCTTTATATGATCGCAGCTGTCGCCCACAAGTCCTAGCATATTTTATGCAACAATTTGAATACCCTCTCTAGAAGGGGATGCAAAAGTAACCAAAAAGGCAGCAGTCCAATTCTTTTTGTTGGTCATATGTACATATTCTTGTTTGTTTATGCGTTGTACATTTATAATTAGTGAATAAGCCAGCTCTATCGAATCTGGATGGAGTGGATGGGACTGGGACTAGGACTGAGACTGGGGTTGGTGTTGGGACTGGGACTGGGCTGCGCATAATTAAATGGAAGCTGCAAATGGAAAGGCGGCCATTTGTCTGTCTGCCTGTCTGTCTGTGTGTTGGCCATCATTTATTACTTGGCACATTTGTTATTGTATTTCGGTTTGTGAGTGTCTAACGATTTACATGCCAATGAATCACCAAAAACAATGCGGTGGACACGGCAACAGTCCCCCCTTGCAGCATAAAGACAAAAATTATTATTATGGGATGCCTTTTTGCCATTGTTTACTTTTCATTATCTATGTAGATAAGCAGGGCCAGAAATAAGCATAAAAAGCAACACTCGCAACAACGCCCTCACGTGACAACAAAAACAATTATAATGATACTAGTAAGTATCTGTCTGTCGGGTCCAACCGACTGCGCAATACTCGTTCAGCTTAATAATAAAAAATCATCACAAAAGGTTGACTTTACAAACGAATCGTTTTGCGGGTGGAATTTCCCGAAACCCCGTATTAACGTGCACCTTCATCCCCGTTGATCACCAATCAGTCAGTACGTCATTTAGTCAGTTTGTCAATCAATAAGTCAATAAGTCAGTTAGTTAGTCAATAAGTCAGTCAGTCAATCAACCAGTCAGTCAGTCAGTCAGTCAATCAATCAGTCAGTCAATCAACCAGTCAGTCAGTCACGACAAACTGTTTTATATATAGAGATATATGGTATAGACAGAATATATTCCATAATGTGTTACACCGCCTCACGAAACGAACCAGCGAGTTGGTTCAAACCCTAAACTGAATCACAAACACTTTTTAAGCCTTTTAGAAGGCGCATTTTTCTTTATTTAGACCTCGCTTGCATTTCAAATTAAAACTGTGCAAGGTATACATATTCCTGCTTGAATGGGGCGTATTGAAACTTTATCTAACGTGGATATTCAGGAGTATATATCCCCAGATTCCAAATCTCTAACGTGAATCCAACAAAACAGTCTCAGCAAGTGGACCAGCCCATCAGACTCTCTTCTCACTTTGTGGGCGAACATAAGGAATATTCCTCTTGTCGCATTACACACTGTTTGTAGCACTTGCCACGCCCACAAACGTGGCGATTTTGGGCAAACGACCTGGCCAAGAAGCCAGGGCACGGCCAGGGCCTGTCAGTGCCACGTAGTTGATATCGATTGAGCATCGTCTTAATTAATCAAGACAGAAACACAATGCGAATGAACACAGACAGAAATAAGAATATAACTCATAACGCTGGCATATTATCAGCTTGTATCCGGCTGGGCACTTTTCCCGAGCAGAGGGCAAACTTAACTTGGTAAACTAATAATAATGGGGCAGCGTGTATTTAGAAATGCAAATTTTTGTAATGGCTTCCAAAGCCGTTCGAGGCTTCAAGGCATTTAGTTTACATAATAATAATAATCATGGCGCTGAGATAACAGCTGCCCAGGCGAAGACTTGGCTGGCTTTGGACCCACCCGATGCCAGCGACAGCATCCGTTCCGCAGTAAGTTAACTTTCCAGATAGGTCAAGGGGGTGGGGGTGCAGTGGGTGAGTCTCAGAAGCTATTGGGCCTGACAGTGCAACTAGTTTGAATTTAGATACCCTTTCCTAGGGTTAGGTGGGGTCTACCCCCTTTTTTTTGCCTGTTGTTAAGCTTGCTCAAGATAACTATTTCATATCGATATTAACTTATTTACTAGATTATATCTATAAATAAAAAATAACTTAATTTCCGACACATGCAAAGCCTCTTAAACTGCCAGTGTTGGAAAGCAACAGTAGTATAAGACATACTAGTATATAGTATATAAATACATGCAAGATGATCTTTAAAATATTTAATATACCCCACATATAATTAACATGCCTTGAAGGGTATTCATACTTCGAAAAGGTCTCAACTTTCTTTTTTTATTGTGAACTTGCGCATGCATAAGGCCTGCGGGCTTTCGCGCGTGTGTGTGTGAGAGAGTGTGTGCGTGTGTGTGTATGACAATTGTCGGAAGGCAGTCAGCTGACAGCATCTGGCCAAGCTTATTGTTGTTGTTGTTGTTGTATTGCATTTTTATGCCCTTTGTTTTTAACGGTTTCGGCAAACCCAGTCGGACGGGCGGACATGCGGACAGACATGCAAACATGCATACTTTCGCATGCAATATAAATGACTCGACTGCAGGACAAAGACAAGGCGCAGTCACCAATCTTCCATTTAAGGACATTCGAAAGGAAAGAGCAATGTCTGAAATGTCATTGTTATTAGACAGGCAGAAAGAGAGAGAGAGAGACAGACAGAGGGGGAGAGAGAGCAAGAGAGAGGGAGAGAGCGAAGCATTTCATAAATTATCTCTCGAAATGCAATTACGATTCGAATAAAATTTTGCGCAAACGAAGTTAAAACGGCAAATGCTGTTACCTTTGCTTAGTTAGACTTGAGTATGTCAATTGAAGGAATATTAAAATTTGAATTGATTTAAGCTGGCAGGTATTACCCGGCTTTGCCCGGTACAAGCATATTTTATCCAAATTATAAACCTTCGAATTAGAAAACAGAATTCTCCAAAGAAACAATTTAAACTTAATTTGAATGAAAACTTAAAAGTGAAACTTTCAACTTAAGCGCGCTTCAAATTTTCTACACCCATCAATCAGTTCGTGAGTCAATCAATCAGTCATAATTATCAATGTAGTTCCTTTTTATGCTGCCAAGTGTCTAATATTAGAAAACTCGCAATAAAGCTGCACGCTTGAGTGTAAGAAATACTTAAAATTAAATAAATACAAATCGAATATGGATAAAGTATTAAAAAGGCCTCGAGGGCCTTGAAAACCACAAGCCACAAAAATCAATTGCTGCAGTTGAAGTGCAGCTCGCAGCTTATAAAGCAAATAATTTAATTAATTGTGCATTGGCACGTACCACGAATTTTCGGCTTTAATTGAGAGCATTTTGAAGGCTCAAGCAATTAGGGCAAAAATAAAAACAAACAAAATCACAACAAATTGTTTGTTGAGGGCCAGCGTGACGTATGCGCAATTTATGGCTCATACGCCTAGTTCCCATGGCCACACGCTCACACAAGCGCACACACGCAGACAAACACACAGTGTATACTCACCTATAAAATAGTTGGTGACGGTGCGCATACGCTTGGTGGTCAGCACAATCCAGACGACAATTAGATTGCCGCCAGTTGCCACAATGACCATGCCGCCGAATAGAATGCTCCAGAGCACCTGGCGCCACCAGGGCACAACGAAGGCAAAGCTGGCCACGGGCGATGCCGCATCCTCCTCGACATCTGCAGCCGGAAGTCCTGTGATGCCCGTGGGCAAACTGTGAGGAAGAGGGGGAGAGAGAGAGAGAGGGACAGAGAACGGGAGAGAGAGAGAGAGAGCGGGAGAGTTGGGTTATAAAACAATGGTGAATTAGTGGCATGAAGATTATGTGCGTTAAGCCCAAACAAGTGGGTGACAAGTGTGTGTCCTGTGTATGTCCTGTGTGTGTGTCCTGTGTGTGTGTGTGCGTGTGGGGCATATTAGGCGCATGTAATTGTGCGTGCGTTAGCAAAATCCTTGTCTGTTGTTATTCATAAAACCTCAGGCTCAGACTGGGTTACGACTCCCCTACGTTTATTTAGAGCGTGCGTGTGTGTGCGTGAAAGTGTTTAAATAGGAACACACACACACACACACACACACACCAACACAAACACACGCACCCAAGCCTGGAAAGCCTGAGATTTGGGTGTCTTTGTCATGCCCTGAACTCATTAAAACAGGGTAGAAAAGGGTATAAGGTCTCGTCGATCTCAATAACTTAAATGGCCAGAGATTGGAAATTTTATAATGTGAAAATTCTCTAGGGCCGTCGTGTTAAATTGATGTCCGCTTAAGAGGAGTGTGCGCTTATTAGAGGAAGGGGATGGGCGTGGTCTGTTATATAATTATTAAAGAAATTTAGAAATTTGATGCAGTGAAAATATTAAAAGTAGGGTATGGGCGTACTGTGTTATATAATTATTTTAGAAAAAATGTCCGTCCAAGCTGGATGTTCGCCTTACAGAAGTGTCCGCTAGGAGAGTTTTCATCAAATCAATTTATTGAACATTACGTTTTTGATAGGTTTCGTTTAAGTTTAGGGTATTCGCTAGTCGGTCACACCCGACACGAAAACGCTGCTACTTGTTGTGAGAGTCTGCACAGGCTGTTGCTTGGCCTCGTCATCGTCTGTCAACGCTAATACGGCCGTAAATTGGGGCCCGGCTCGTTAGGAGCCCGGACATCAAGTAATTTAATATGCTGTGTCCCGTCTCTCTCTGTGTGTGTGTGTGTGTGCGTGTGCGTGTGTGTGCTGACATTTGAAGCCAGCTGGGCGTGGCTGCGCCCCAGTTAGTCAGCTGTTAGTCATTAGCGGTTAGTCGGCCCTTCACAGCAATTAAAAGCATGTATTATGATCGCTTCGGCATACCCTGTACACAATTTGCATAAGTCGTCTCACTTTGTTGTTGAGAGGATTATTGATTTTTATGGACAGTGCAAAATGTAAAAAATACAAAAAAAAAAAAAACTAAAAAGAAAACAATTTCGAGCAGCAGCCGCAGGCTCACGAAAGAACGCTAAGTAAAAGGAAAAGCCAAGAGTGGAGGCTGCTGCACTAAAAGCTACCCTGTAAATTAGCCATTGTGTTTTATAAGAAGTCGATATAAGCTAGGCTGACAGCAGAGGCTTATAAGAAGTCGATAGATGCCCGACTGACAGCAGAGGGTATTTTTCTATATACACCTTGTACACGAGCTTTTGGGTCTTATGGAGAAAGGGTATTTTTGTATATTAACTACAGTCAAAGGAAAAGCCTTGAGTGGAGAGTGCTGCACCAGAAGCTACCCTGTACACGAGCTATTGTGTCGCTACTCGACTGACAGCACGGGGTATTTTTTTATATTCACTTGAGACTTATGCCAATATCATTGGCTCATGTAGTTTCTCAGGCATATTTTATGCCTTACAGCGACGTCTTGCTCTACTTTATGGGCAACCTTTTCTGCCAATTTTACGCGTGCCGGGAATAAAAATAAGGAAAAAAATACATTTCCTGCTGTCAAATCCATTGTTGTTATTTTTCTAGAATTTTTTTTATTTTGGGCCTTTACTTGTTTTGATTTTTTGCATTAAGCACGGCAACGCGCCGACAAGCTAAACAAATAAACATTCTAAAGAGCGAAAACATTGGGAAAACCGCAGTAGCAGAAGCCAAAAGCTGTTGCAAAAGATACTTTTACTTAAGGATGTCATCCATCCTAGCTGAGGCAGAACGAAGACGATTTGTGGACTGCCAAAAAGTATTTTGCGAAATTCAAACGCAGCAATTATCTGTTCGAGTGGAACAGTCCATATAAGACTCTATATTTTGTGTGTGTGTGTGTGTGTGTGTGTTGGTGTGTTGGGGTGGGTGTGTGTGTATGAGTGTGTGGATGTGTGTGTCGTTGGGAGTAAACAAATTTTTGCTGCAGTAAGCCGACTGTCGTTAAAAAAACATAATATAAAAATACAAAAATAGAATAGACTCGACTAGAAAATGCCCTATGAGATGTTGAAATTTCCAAAATATGCATATCTAATGTAAATAAAGGCAAATCAGTTCAAAATATTGTTGATAGAAATTTATAAATGAGAAAAAGAAAAACAATTTAATGTAAACAACTTGTAAAAGAATTTAAAAATAATATTAAAATTAGTGCAAAACAGTTTTAGTGCGCATTTTAGAGGTTGAACTTCGGCCAAGTTTCAAACCCAAGTGCAAGCAAAAGCACAGAGCGATCAGCAACTACAACCAGTGTTGGCAAACAACAGTAGAATATAATACTAGTATACTATAGTATATATGTACTAGTATATGTATATGTATTTATTGAAAATAGAAGTTGGGCACTCTACGAAAAGGAGAAGAGGACACGAGTCGATGAAATTAAAAAAAAAAAAAAACGAGAAAATAAAAAATAAAGAAGAAAAATATAAAGAAACAGAATATATAATCTATTTGATAATAAAAAATATGTCCTACCCTTCCGCTGGGAATGCTTTAAGTGCGCGGCAGAAGACATAAAGAAGTCACGAGCAGCACACACACGCACACACACACACACGCACACACACGCACACACAAACACACGATTATAGATAAATGCGAAATGTGTTTTGTATATATTTGTATTTGTATTCCGCGTGGGCCATCAATGTAATGTATTTAAAACGGAAATAAAAGCCATGGCAAACGGAAATGCATGACTGATTGAAGTGAATGACGGATTGAAGTGAATGACTGATTGAGTGGGTGAGTGAGTGAATGGCTGAATGATGCGTCATTAGATATGCATGTCCAGTACAGAAAGCAGGAGGAGGAGGAACGAGCTCATCAGCCCAAATCCTGAGCTGTCCTAATGCATTGCTCTAATGAGATGGCGGCATGTGTCGTGCATTAATTCAATTTGTATCATAATTAGACATTCGGACTGGACGCTATTTCTTTTTTTTTTTTCTGCTGTCTCTTTGTGTACTTACACCCTGCTCAGATTGTAGGCCAGACTGGGTCCGTATTCGGTGGAAAGAGGAGTCTGATTGGCCAGGACGCTATTCATGGCATTATAGATCAGGGCGGGGCCATAAGTGCTCCAGTTGCTCCAAGTGTTGTCCAGCAGCTCCTCGTTGTTCTCCATGACCTGGCCAGCTCCAGTTGTTCTTGTTCTTGTTGTTGTAACGGAATCCAGCATGATCTTTAGTAGAGAGCGGGGGGAGAGCAGGGCCTTGGACCCCCCTTTGTTTGCCCGGACTAATGTTGCGTGTCCTTATTTGGCTGGCATTTGTTTGCTTGTGCGCCTGCAAAAACGACAAACGGATAGAATAATACATTTAACTAATTTCCTTTCTATTTATTTTTTATTTACTTTTAGCAGTGGGTCAAATAATTCTTAGATGTTGCTCCCTTTGCAAAAAGGCAGCTCAAAAGTTTGCAATTTCATATTCGACTTTTGGCTGTGCTCAGATTGACTTTTTCATTTGTATTTGTCGCTGGGTTGGGCACATTTCCAGCTTCTTTGACGATTTTGAGGCCAGAAAAAAAGGTTTTTATTTTGCGGTTTGTTTTGGGTACTAAATAAAATGTATTTCCACACAAAGCGCTTTAATAGCAGGCATATTAGGGCGCTTTTCAAATGTAAATAGGGCTGACATAGTAGTTAGAGTTTGGTAGTCGGGCGTGCCCATTCAGCAGATACCCTAAACAAAAAACATGTGCTCTTTATTAATTAACTTCGGTGCTTATTGTCCGATTTTCTTAAATCTGGCACAGAAAACTATCTATCTTTCCAAATGCGAACTCCCAATTAAAAATATTTTCAATTTGGATAAGATTATGCAAAAAGAATATTATTGGATGTAACAACTTTTCAAGTCAAAAAATCTCTAACATTATGTTGATTGATATGATGAAAATGGGACAAGATATATATATATATATATACATAAGCTGCATAGGGTAGACGATAATATACATATATATAAATGGTCTCCAGTTATTTATTGGCCTGACTATATATATTATATTATTATATTTATGCTATAATATATATTTATTTATTTATATTTATGCTATATATATATATACTATATTCTTGCACAAAATTGTCAAGCCCAATTTAACCAATTTCCAAATGGGTTTAACCTTAAACAGGTAAGAGGTTCTAGTCGGGAGCTCCCGACTAGGGGATACCCTGAACCCTCTTCTTCCAACATCAAATGCATATATATTCTATTCTAGAAGCTATATGTCAAGTTTGGTGACAAAAAAAAAAACAATATTGATATCGATTTTTATCGATTGCTTGAAAACGGAGTAAGTTATCGATAATCGGAAACAAACTCGATCTGCGCGGGCACTAGGAGCACCTACATCTTTGAAGTCTCTAGCTCTTATCTGAGATCCTTGCGTTCATACATACGGACAGACAGACGGACATGGCTAGATCGACTTGGCTCTTGATGCTGATCAAGAATATATATACTTTATGGGGTCGGAGATGTTTCCTTCTGCCTGTTACATATATTTGGATTTTGCACAAATTCAATAAACCCTTTTTACCCATTTTTAATGGGTTCAGGGTATAAAAAAGCCCAAATTTAAATTAAATGAACAAACTTTTAAATTAGCACAAACTTTGCTACATCAAAGAAAATTAAAACGTGGCACATCGGAAATTAATAAAGAATGGGGCTTAAAGCTCTGTTAAATAACCTGAGCATATTATTATAGAAAACCCTTTGTGGTTTACAACTAATATACTAAGTAGCTTCATTTTGGGTTGATATTCCCTATTAGGGTTTACCCTAAAACTCGTCCACTTAACTGAAGAGTTCCAAGTGCAACCACAACAAACACCTTAATTGCACATTATTTAAATCGAGTTTAATTAATGTTTGGTATTTAATAAATTGTTTTATTGATTTTCACTAAACCAGAAGAGAGCAAGAGCTGGCATTGGTATCTAACCAAATCAAAGGCATTTCTTATCTGAGCAAAACACTTGAAAACAACTTGAAAACAAATTGAGTAATAGTTTGAGAATATTTTGCAAGTGATTGACTTTGAGATACCCATTTTGTTGAAGCACCTGATGCTCATGAATTCAATTTCGGTTTTTCTTTTCTTTTTTGGTAATCAAAGATTTTGCCTTTTGACTAGTGAAACAGTTCGAGAACTTTGCAAGTGATTGACTTTGAGATACCCATTGTTGCAGCATCTGATGCTCAGGTGCTCAATTCAAACACTTTGCCCTTTGACTGCTGGAAAACAAAGAACTGATGAACTCTCCCCAAAACTAATTCAATTCGCAACATTTACACTCGAACGACTCCCCAGAGCTGGATTTACCTTTACCTGTCGCCGCTTTCTTTGTATGTTTGTGACAAGGCAACGAAAATGTCTTTTGTTTTCAGCCCAGCCCCGCCCTGATAAAGTTTTTTGCCCCTGATAAGAGGCGAACAGTTTGTCGACGTCCGGCGCTGACAGATTGAGACAATTGCGTCTTACCTCACCTGAGGCAGTTGCCACTTGCCACATGCCGCATGCCACACGCCACATGCCACACTTTTCACTTAACGAAATGAAAGCAGCTGCCAGTCAATAGAATTTAACATACTATATAAATATATATATACATATATATTTTGTTATATATTTACATAAATGTCTCCTGCATTGAAACTTCTATTTATATACTTTACATTTGCAATGCGTTCTTCCAGTTGTTGAAATATTTTTAATTTGGATAATATTGTACTCCTTTTTTTTAATTTTATACATTTACATGAATGTTGCCAAGGAAATTTATTTTCTTTTCGCCAGATTTGTTGGAAAAACAGCTCATCAATAAATCGGACAAGACAAATATTGAAGAACTAGGCAAAAAAATCAATTAGCGGCGAGTTGTCTAACCCCTCACAATAATCAGAGAAATGTGTGTGCATACAAAACATATGGCTAAATTATATGGTGCGAGGGTGCGGCACAGTCAGATAGAAGCGGGACGAGGGGGGAGGGTGGGTGAGTGCTAGAGGTAGCGGGGGGATAGAGGAGGGATTGCGGGTGTTGGGCTGCAATTGCGGCGACGACGCGCATTGTTGTCTTAATGAAATGTAAACAAACTTCAAAAGAATGTTGGCCATAATTGGCAGCTAGCCGGACGGACGGACGGACTGCTCGGACTGCAATCGAGTGGGAGAGAGAGGGGGAGCGGGGGGTAGCGGGCGATGCGGGGCGTGGCAGATGCAAGCCAGAGCGTCGTGCCACGAAATAAACTCAAAATATTTGTTGCAAAAATATTTGCCCAAATAGAAAAAAAAAACTGCGGCCCGGCAATAATTCCGGCTGTCCGGCAAACAATTCCAGCTGTCCGGCAACAAACTCCGGCTGCTCCGCCCACTGTGCACACACGCCCCTATTGACTGATGTTGCCATGAAAAAAACTTTTTGCTTTTGTGTCGTTTCGCAATAATCGCACCAAAATTGAATTCCATTTTTGTTGCTTCTGTTCTACGTTTCTGCCGTGGACTTGAAAAATAGGCAAAATGTCATGCGGGCAGATGACGTATACGCCCCGTTGTACGTAGAAGAATTTAATGTTTGTCTGCGTAGCATTAAAATGAATTTGTCTTTGGCCCGTCTGTAGTTTGAGCTGCTTTTCACAAAATTTACACGCAACTAAGCACGTTTTGTAAATATATGTTGCCTCTTTTTGAAGAAGCGAGAAAAAAGAGAACAATTGTGTAGCTTTAAGGTTCACGCAATAAAGTTTCTAAGCATACAAATATAAATTTGGAATGGGTCTAGACAGCTGTGTGAAATTGATGGCAAATGTTTGCATCAGCTTAAAACTCTTCTTTTTTTTGGCAAACTTTTTAGCACAACGCATGCTCTTGTTGGAATTTAAGGCCTAAGGCAACTGTGGAGTGACACTTTTTGTTTCCGGTTCAATTAAGTTCAACTTTATTTCTATAATAAGCCGTTTGCTAAAATTCACTATTAGATTTAAATCTTAAAATGGGTGGACAACTGAGGCTTAAAATTACATTGCGAACTCGTGCAAAGCCGGGCAATAACTATACCAATGATTTGCATAAAATGCATTATTTGTATATCGCCCTACAATGCGATTCTCAAAAATGCATGCATGACATTGGCTTCGGTGCATTAGGTATAAACGTTAATTCAAAAAGTTGTTGTGCTAAAAAAAAAAAATAAAATTAACAAGCCAAGCTTGAAACAAAATCCTGTACTAATACTAATAAAATAATATATTAAAATGTATATTTTATATCGCTCTTCTATGCGATTCTCAAAAATGCAAGCATGACATTGGCTAATGGTTTCGCGAATCCAACCTATGCACCATTTGTATTGTAAATAATTAATATATGAGAATCGCATAGTAGGGCAATATGCACTACCCGCAACTATTTTATACGTTAATTATGTTGAGCATCAGCACAGAAAGGGTATTTAGGTCTCGCAATGACTGAATATCAGTTTTTTGTTTGTTTGACAAGTCAAGTACAGGGTACAACAAAAAATGGGTATGAGAATAATAATAATAAAGAAGAGTTTTTTGGTCTGCGTGGCAGTTGCGCCATTGTGTGTGTGTGTGTGTATGTATGGGCCATACATGAGCAAGTGTATATGTATGTATTATGTATGTATGCATGTATGTACATGAATGTATGTATGTATGTACATGTATGTATGTCAATAGGCAATGGGTTCCGTTGGGCACAATGCGCCATGCTGGTCTTCTTTTAGGCTCTTTGCCACACACCCCCCCCTTCCGCACACTCTTTGCCCCCCTTTCTACTTGGCCTGCTGAGTTCTAAAACAATTTAATGTTAAAATGCGCACAGCTCACATTTGTGGGCGTGGCAGGGCGAGAAAAACACTTTTGCTTTTCATTTAGATTCGGCTTTTGTTTGGCTTGTTCCACACAATGGAAACGAAATGAACTTGAATTGTAATTGCCAAGGCGAAAGAGCTCGCAGAATTTTTTTAATTTACCACACACACACGCACACACACGCACATACACTCATAATATATTTAAATAAAATTAATTTTAATGCCACGCTGCAAATTGGCCACATGCCCTGCTCCAGCCGCAGCTACTGAGAGCGAGAGGGAGAGTGGGAGTGGGAGTGAGAGAGAAAGAGAGAGGTTGAGCATTTTCTTGACTAAAATTCATCAAAATGATTTTTTAATGAGCTGCGCGGGCCTTGTCGGGAAAATTTATTTATGGCTATGTGTTTGCTTTCGCACCTAACAAAAAGCAGCCAAA